CATTTGCATTTATTCTAATGATGTGCAATGTTTTCACTGGCAAAAACACTTTTACTGCTGAGATAAATGTTTTTTTAGGTGCCTAAAACTTTTGCACTATACTGTATACATACATGTGTACAGTATTGTACATATTGCTGCTGTCAGAACAAAACTTGTATTATTATTGTCATTTTTCAGCTTTTGACATGATTTGAAAATGCCTGTTAGCCTTTACATTGTGTGTAAATTTCATGATGAATGGACCAAAAGAAACGGCATAATATGGCTTGGAAACAATCCTGGTTCCATTGACATACATAAAAAGTAAAGTATTTTTTTGCTTCTCCTGTAAAGTTACCATTTTAGAGATACAAGGTTTTTTTTTTCCAACAGCAGCATTATATACATATGTGCACACGTTTGTAACGTATTCGTATATTATTGTATGAAAGTCTCGAATGATATGTATAATGTGTAAAGCCATTTATCTGGGCACTAAGCATTTATTTGTATCAGATTAAATAGAAATAAACAAACAGTAGGCCTACACTGTGATGTGATGATGTGATATGTGTAAGCTTAACCATTTCCAAATCTCTCCTTGAGGAAGTCCAGTACTTACAGTTATCATCCAATACCTACTTTATCTGACTAGTCCTTCATTGCATGAAGTCAGGTGCTGCTGGTGCAACTGAACAAATCCGTGCAATGGCTTGAAATCCTAACTGTGATCTTCTAACCATGATGTCAGTAGCTTTTTAAAAACACACAAACAAAAAATCATCATAATTACATACACAGAATTACACTGCTATTTAACTATTTTCTACTGTCAACTTTGCCTCCAAGCCTTTTCTGCATTTTTTAAGTTTTTTTTTCTCTTACAATGCACTTTCATTTTGTTAGTGAGTGTTTTCTCTGTGCCAGTCAGACTAGGTTTGGGAAGTAGACACATAAGTGCTGCCTTGGCAGTTTGCTGTTTGGAAGCCAAGCCTAAAAAGCATGGTGGAGGACATAGAAGATTACAAAGCGAAAGATAATTGCATCAGCCTCGAAGAAGAAGGAAGTCAGTGAGCCAGGTTAGAGCAAAACGTGCTGACTTAGCTCTCCCCCTGCAAAAAAAAAAACAAGCAAACACTAAGCACTCACCGTTCTGCTCCAGCTGCTCTCACACTGCACTCAGCAAATGCCTCAGAAAATAACAGTGCATATACATGTACGGCATGGAGCGGCGACAGGAGAAACTTTCTCAGATGCAGAGGATACATTGTTTGAATCATAGCACGACTTACCGTGGGCTTGGGCTGCACCGTATTTCGCTATTTAATTGTTCTCATGATATTGGCACGATATTGTAGGAGAATATAGTATGCAAATATATGCAAATTAGCTCTTTTTTTATTAACTGTACGCGCTGAACATTTTGACCAATCACAGTTCCAGATGAGTGTCAGTTTTGATGAATCAAAGTATTCATGTAATCCAACAACAGAAACTGTGGGGACAATAATGCAGGCCAGTCATTAGTCAACTGCAAGATATGTTGTAATATGTAGCATTATAATCGCAGTACTAGTATTTCGTTGATATCATGTAATCCTATCACTGTCAGATAATTTGCACATAGTAGCCACTGTGGGACTTCCTATTTACCCCTATTAAGTCGTCCATTTTCCTCGCAGTCATATATCACAATATATAGCAGTGTAATCACAATTGTAGTGCTTTGTCCATATCGTGCAGCCCTACTCACACATAATAACCACTGTAGGACTCCCTATTTACCCCCACTGGCAGTCCTCCATGGCCCTCATAGTCATCTGACTTGGAGATCCCATGACCTACACGACGTATGCAAGCACTGCAACCAGGAGCTAATCGTTTTAAGAAATCAGTCCGGAATGCGCATTACTCAAACACACCCACTGTTCCAGCTCAGGCAGTTATTAGGCCTCCAGAAGGAGTGTGGTTAGAGGGGAGTGGCATGGCAGGGCATGTAAAAGCAACTTCCAGGAACAGTCTAGTAATACGGCGGCGGTTAAGCTGACGGATAGCTGTGATGTCTGGACTATGAGGACAGATGTCCTGAAGGAGCGAGAGCTTGGCACAGAGGGCCCAGCTGTGAATCAGCTGTGATCTGATAAGCCGTTATCCGAGAGACTACCACAGATTATCCCCCACGTAATACATACTGGCACAAGTAGGCCCACATCCTACATATTCTGATGTGCTCCCGACAGCAGTGAAGATGAGGAGGTAAAAAATATAATCGTCGCTGTCCAAAAAAGCATGTAGGTCCATTTTTTTCATTTTCAACATCATTTCAATGCAACAGCAGCCCTTTATGTTATGTGAAAGTTTCATGATGAACAGACCAACAGAAATGCTCCAAGATCACTTGGAATAAAACCTGTTTATGTTAACTTATATCCAATTAAGAATTTTTGCCTTCTGCCTTAAAGTTATATTTTTGGAGATACACATTTTTTTGAACAGCAATGCTATATATTAATGTATAGTTGTAAAATATATGGATTTGTTCAAGGAAAAAGAACATTTTCACAATTTTACACAATTTTCTCTATTGTATTACTGTATTATTAATATGGTATTATGATTGTGAGAGCTAGGCCTTTAGTTTCAAAAACTATGAAAAAAACCCTCTACGAGCATTTTGCTTCCACTCGCACCCCATTGAGATTCTAGTCATATGTTAGCATTTAGCTAACAGTGATTCACATGAACATTTTTGTCAATTCTAAATTAAACACAGACATTTAAAGCTTGTGAAAGACACTTCATAGTTTGAATCTTTTAGTAGTTGGAATGAAGCGCAATGGTTAGGCTACCACTCACACAAGGCCTTCCAGAAGGCCTAAAGCTAAAGTTTTTTTTCTCACAAAATTGGTCCCACTGGAAATCTATGGTTGATTCCCCTGTTAGTCCCTAATTGGTAGTAGCTAATCTAAAGCATTAGGCCTTCAGTTCAGCTCCTGAAGGCCTAACCAATGGAAGAGCTTGCATGACTGTATCTACTTAGACAGCACAGAGAAAATATTCTGATTGGATAATTTTTCTTTGGGTGGTTCAGGAATTTTTTCTCTTTTTGTTTCCCACCAAAATAAAAAAATTAAGAGTATTACTACAATACTTGCAGACTTTAGATACAGCTAGTATGATGATCCTATTACATAAAATAGAAATTATTAAACATTCTCTGAAGGCCTAGAACACCCTGAGGGTTTCTCACTGGTATTACATACAGTTATTCATAAAAATGAACAAAATTCAAGCTTCATGACGGTCGCTGCTAATACTACTGTTTTTGTCTACAGCTTGAAGCACGCTAAAGGCTTTCCGGCTTGAGCAAAGCACACAAAGCAGAGTAGCTCAGACAATATAATCTTTCCCTCTGCTGTCAACTGGGACCAGTCCAAACGTACACACCCCTTAGTGAATCCCCATAGAAAACATGTGGTTAATGACGACATGCAATCAGGCACCCATCCCTTTAATAAAGTATGACCACAACAGCTGCGTGCGCTGATGTAGGCTAGTAGTGCTGGGTGTAGAGCTGAGGCCTGCGCTCTGTCTGAACCACATGCAACTGCTGACTGCTCCTAATTAGCACTTGCATTTAGAAAAACACACGGTCTGTTGTTCAGAGGTGCACGACATCCTGACTAAAGCAGTGTTTCCCAATTCCAGGCCTGTCGTCCACCTGCACGGCCCAGTTACGTGTTTTCCCTGCACCTGAGTCACGTTATTATGTAATGATCTAGTCTTTCCGGAGCTGAATCAGGAAAAACATGAAACTGAACATTGCAGATGAACTGCAGGACTGTAAATGGGAAACTCTGACTTAAAGTATTACCTGTGTTAAGGAACTAGGCCGTTCTGCTGTGCACATTGAGACTACAGCAAATGTTAAAATGTTAAAGAATGGTAAAAGTTTACATTTATGAACTTTGCTTTCACAATACAGTTTTATTCACAGTTATATGACCAAAGGAATCTGTGGTTGTTTAAAGTATTTAGCAGCGGTGTTGAAGGTAGGTGGGTGATTCTGTTACTACGAACCCTTGAAATGTTTACATATGATATATATAGGACATATACAGATGAGTGGCAAAGAGAAAACCTGAAAGGGAAATTCCACTGTTTTTTTTTTCAGAAATTTCAGAATAATTCTGTCCTTGAGATGCAGTCATTCTAGATTGGTTTGATGTGAAATGGTTCATCGTAACTCAGAGACTCAAACATTTTTACAGTGATGATAGGGACCAGGGGTCACAATGTCTACAATGCAATTATAGCTAATTTATGTATTATCCAAAACTGCTAGTGAACCTACGTGTGCCTACGTGTGAGTTTTTACATGTAATGTTGATGATGGTACAATAGGCATAAATCTGACAAAAATACGTTTTCTTTGGTTTCTGTTTTGTCTTGGAACACCCTCCATGTATCCCTCCACCATGAATAGATTAAAGTAAATTGAAGTCAAATACATTTTAGGCCAAAACATCTAACAACATCTTATACATCAGGCTATTCTTAAACATTTCATTTAATAACTTTCTGTGAGAGAGCTTTTAGAGGTGGACGTCTGGTTCCTATCACCACCACTGTGAACAATTCTGAGTCTGTAAGTTTCTCTAGAATGGAGCATTTCACACCAAACCTCTGATTCAAAAAAATATTGCCACTGTTTTTCCAGAAAGGTTTGAGCAGTGATTTTCCTACTTCGAGCAAATTTCCCGTGGCTCGCTACTGCCATCCAGCGCCCACTTTTGGAATTACACATTTCTGATCTAAAATAAATTAAGATCGAACCGTTTCCTTTTTTCCTGACTTTATTTTTACAGTAGTTAAAATCCATCTGTGCACACGATACATTGATGCCAGGTCTTATATACGTCGTATCCCTCATATATACCGTCTTTCTGGCCATACGTCTGGTTTTTTTGAACAGGCAATATGAAAGACAGCTCAGCTGTCACCTCATGGAAAGCGCCTGCTGAATGGGGTCTTTCCTCTACTCCTCTCCTGCAGGGGTCATGCCCAGACTCTCTCAGTAATAAATCTGCCCTCCAGTATCTAAAACTACAGTTTTTACACCGAGTGTGGTTCGGAGTCATGATGGGCGGCAGGACGAGCGCTATCGCTGCCGGAGTCGGCGCGGCGCTGTTCGTCGGTTACTGTATTTACTTCGACAGGAAGAGACGGAGCGACCCGAACTTCAAGCGCAAGCTGAGAGAGCGTGAGTGTTTCCCTGACTGACACGCTGCGCTGCACAGATGCTAAACGAGCTGATTTGCTGACTTTTACTGTTCGTCAGTTCAGCGTTTTATCGGCCGGGTTTTAGTATGAGGTCCAGTCGAACGGATTTAGGCTGGAAATCGGAGGGTTTCAACCAGCAGTCCGTCACCGGCGCTGCCGACAAACCGGCTCAGCCAGAGAGAAATACAGTCAGTACGTTCAGCGATTAGCATCGTCTGGACGAAGAATAAGTACAACAAAAGCAGCTGAAGTAGCTTACAGTGTATTACAGTCCTCCGTCTCTCTCTCTCTCTCTCTCTCTCTCTCTCTCTCTCTCTCTCTCTCTCTCTCTCTCTATCTATTGTGTCTGCCTGCCTGCCGGTCTCTATCTCTGTCTCGCTCTCTCTGCCTGTCTCTTCTCTGTATTTTTCTCTCTGTCCGTCTATTTATCACTCTCTCTGTCGGCCTCTCTCTGTCTCTATCTATCTATCTATCTTTATCTATCTGTCTGTCTACCTCTGTCTGTCTCTGTGTGTCTATCTATCTCTCTGTCTATTTCTCTGTCTGTTTGTCTTTGTCTATCTTCTCTCTGTGTCTGTCTGTCGCACTGTCTCTTTCTCTCTGTTTCTGTGTCTCTGTGTGTGTTTGTCTGTCTCTCTTTCCATCTATCTATCTATCTATCTATCTATCTATCTATCCATCCATCCGTCCATCCATCTGTCTCTTACTCTCTGTCTGTCTCTTTTGTGTGTCTCTTTCTCTGTTTCTGTGTCTCTGTGTTTGTCTGTCTGTCTCTCTCTCTCTCTGAGTTATGTCTGTCTGTCTGTCTCAGTCTCTCTGTGTGTCTGTCTGTCTCACCTCTCTCTGTTTATGTGTCTTTGTGTGTTTGTCTGTCTGTCTCTTTCTCTCTGTTTCTGGGTCTCTGTGTGTGTTTGTCTGTCTGTCTCTCTCTCTCCATCTCTGTCTATCTGTCTATCTTTCTGTCTGTCTATATATTCCTCTGTGTGTCTGTCTCTTTCTCTCTCTGTCTGTCTGTGTCTCTCTGTCTGTCTGTCTTCTCTCTTTGTGTCTGTCTCTTTCTGTTTCTCTGTGTGTTTGTCTGTCTCTCTTTCTGAGTTATGTCTGTCTTTGTCTGTCTGTCTCTCTCTCTCTGAGTTATGTCTATCTGTCTGTCTCAGTCTCTCTGTGTGTCTGTCTGTCACACCTCTCTGTTTATGTGTCTCTGTGTGTATTTGTCTTTCTCTCTCTCTGAGTTATGTTTACCTGTCTTTGTCTGTCTGTCTGTCTGTCTGTCTCTCTCAGTCTCTCTGTGTGTCTGTCTGTCACTCTCGCTCTGTCTTTCTGTCATTTGGATGCAGCGTTTATAAATCTTTGGGTTGGGACTAAACTTGGTGTCTTGTGTTTTATATTTCCAGAGATCCATTCATGAAATCTGTTTTTATGTATCAGCAACATTTGTAATTCATTTCTACATGAACATTTCATAACCTGTCTTTATCCCGTAGAGTTCAACAGTTTTGTTTTTGTTGCTGTGCCTTTAATACTGATATGTACAAGAGCTCAGTTCTGATTGGCTGTCCTGTATTGTCCACTTTAAAAAGCAGTTCTGGCTGCTGTGTGAAAGGCCTGGGCTATAACTGCTATAGGCCGAATAGGCATATATGTAGATGTGTAGGTTCTAAAAAATGATATTGGGGCTTTAAAACAAAAGCTGACAGCAGTTGTTTTGTTTGCAGGAAGGAAGAAGCAGAAGGCAGCACAAGAAAGAGCTGGACTATCAAAGGTAAGGGCAGACAGTTTTTTCTGTTTCCACTGCAGTTAAATCAAAATTAACTGCTGTGTGGTCATACTGTAATGCCTGTCAATCTGGCACACATGTAAAAGAGACCAAATAGGATGTAAATATGATATAATGCATATGAAGGTTGTACGCTTTATGCTTTCTGGTCTGAAATTTGCATGCCTTGTCTGTAGCTGCCAGATCTAAAGGACGCCGAGGCTGTTCAGAAATTCTTCCTCGAGGAGATTCAGCTGGGAGAAGAACTGTTGGCACAGGGTAGGGTTCTCTTTTTTTGTTGTTGTTTTTTTGGTACAGTCAAATGTAAAATTTGAACACCCCTTGTCAGATTACGTTTTGTTGTTTTTCTAAGTGAGAAGTTTCTCATCCTCTGCGGGGAGCATACATAAATATGGCATTTTTCTGCACATTACTCTTCAGTTTCTGCTTACATGCTGAGTTCAACATGTAAAATCTAAAATGTACTGTGACTTTTGCACAGGCCACATTGTGTGTTTTAAATTTCTCCTATATGTTCAATTCAGTTAATAAACACTGTTTGTGTGTGAAAAAGAGTGCAAAAGTGTGTTCTCTGTAGAGGATGTGTAAACTTATTTTCCCATAGAAAATCAACAAAATATGTGTCCTAACTTTTGCATATGACAGTAAATTACTGCAATGTAAATACTGCCTACCTGCAGCACTTGTGGGTAGAACCTTTTTGGTGCTATATAGAACCATGTACAACACATTCTCCATCTGTCTGAATAATCATTTGGTGATGCAAAGAACCATTTAATCATGTAAAGGATTATTTGTCAGAAAAATTGCAATTAGATATTTTGCCAAAATTGCTCAGCCCTATTTTCAGGTTATACATTCCCAATCATATTGAAATCTGTTATACGTAGGAATAATCTATACATTTTATGTCAGTCAGCTTTAGTTTATCCAGTAGGACTGTAATCATCTTCCTCTTCTGTCTTCTAGGAGACTATGAAAAAGGAGTAGACCACCTGACCAATGCCATCGCGGTGTGTGGTCAGCCTCAGCAGCTCCTACAAGTGCTGCAGCAGACTCTGCCTCCACCGGTCTTCCAGATGCTCCTCACCAAACTGCCCACTATCAGTCAGGTAAGGAACAAATGGAGAGTGCTTGCTGTATTATGCTACATTTTGTTTGTCCATGGCTACTTTGTGCTGTCCACTGGCGTCTTGGCAAATATGGAGGGCATTGTTAGTAGACGTGTTCGGTATGGAACGTAATCAAAAGAACATCCGTCAGACATAGTTAGATAACTAATAGCAATAAGCATCAAGTTATGTAAATATGTGACACATTACTGGATGATAGTTTATTATCCCATTATAATACTAAGCCTAGTTGAAGCTGGATTAGTTTTACCTGAGAAGGTGCTGTAATTTGAGTTATTACCAACAAGATCTGTGATTTTAATCCAAAGCAAAGTTGCCACACTTGCAATTTTTACAAGTAATAATTCTGGAACAAATTCTAAAATTTTCTCATCCCAGAGCTCCCTCAGTGATAGTCCAGTTTAAATCAACATCTCAGTAATGCAATAAAAAAAAAGAACAGCATTTCCATTTTATTTCTTTTTTTGTGAACCGAAGACAAGGCTAACAAGGCTAACAGCTAAAATGGAGCTTGATTTAACCCAATTCCTTAATCCTTAAGTTCATGACAAGATTACTGAAATCCACAACAATTCAGTGTATATTGCCTCCCATACGCTAAGATTACGCACCATTATTTAGCCGTCACCCAACACTAAAATGAGATGTCAAGTCTCCTTCCTCCAGTCAGGGCTTTTTGGGGAAATTGCACAGATCCTTTAACCCGTATGAATTGGCGAGTCTACTTTGTTGTATTTTTTTCATTTCATTATGCACCAAATGTTTTCAGTGGGTGACAGATCTGGACTGCTGGCAGGCTCTTTTAATATGGAGCAATGCTGTTATAATACGTGCAGGTTTGACATTGTCTTGCTGAAATAAGCAAAACCTTCCCTGAAAAAGACGTCGTCTGGATGGCAGCATGTTGCTCCAAAACCTGTAACTATCATTCAGCATTAATGCTGCGGGACATGATTTCCAAAAAGTATTTCAGATTTTGAATATCTCCCTGGGATGCTTTTTATACCTGACCATGTTGCTGACCTGTTGCCAGTTAACCTAATTAGTTGTGAGATGTTCCACCAGGTGTTTTTTAGCATTACGCAATTTTTCCAGTCTTTTGTTTCCCCCGTCTCAACTATTTTGAAGCTGTTGCTGGCATCAAATTCAATGTGGGCATAGATTTTTCAAAAAACAAATTTCTCAGTTTCAACATTTGATATGTTGTCTTTGTACAGTCTTTAATTAAATATAGAGTTTGAATGATTTGCTTATCATTCAATTTTGTTTTTATTTACATTTACAGTTTTATTCCCAACTTTTTGGACATGGGATTGAAAACTCAATCTTACCTCATAATTGTAAAGGAAACAGTGATTCCACCATTATTCAACACAAAATAGATACCAGAGATTTTTTTTTACCCTCTCAGCCAAAGAAAAGAGGCCAAACTGAGATAATGTATCTAGATAACTTTACCTGTCTTCTTTTAGCTTGCTGTCTGCCTCATCTCATCAGTCATTTCTGTTGTTTGAGTGATCCATTTTGTCTGTTGTAGTGATTTAAAGACTGTTACTGTAGTTAAACAACTACTTCCTAGCAGTAACATTGCCTAAGTAGCTTTGTTCTGCATTTGCTAGCTAACAAAATTCTACCCCACCCCCAGACAGTCCCTCCCATCCTCAAAAAGCTATATCAGAAGTGGTTTTCCCTAGTCTTTAAACCAGAAAATCTCACACTAGACACTACTGCAGCACCACTAAAGGATGCAAGTAAACAGCTTACAACTTTGATTCCATTTTTCATTTTTGCTAGTGTTCCTTTAATGCACCTTTTTAAAGGGCCTATATTGTGGAAAAACTAATGTTCCCTCCCTTTTTTGAAATGAAGTTGATTTTAAGTTAAACCAATGTAAGATGTGGGCTCTTTAAACTAACTGTTCCCTTCTTTCCTCGCAGCGCATCGTCAGTGCACAGAGCGTGAGTGATGACGATGTTGAGTAAGAAGAGGCCGTGTTATTTATGTGATGCTCCTCCGTGGAACCTTCTCACAGCTGTTTTACTCCTCCACCATCAAATCACTCTCCTGTTTCTTCCCAGTTTATACAATGGCCACCCAGAATTTTTCTGATAAACACTAATTTGTCTGTAAAGGCTACATAAGCCTGTAAATTGTTAACATCTGTGAAAAATATTGGTGTCTTTTAATGTCTGGCGACCTTTGTTAACCTCTAGCTGTCAGGTAACTAACACAGTGATTAGTGTTTTCAAATGTGTAAATGAATGAGAGGCATAACCTTCAGTCATATTTCCAGTTTTCCTTATGACAGAATATAATATTTGTGCTAAAAATCAGCAAATATGCAACAAGCAAATGCTGCACATTGTTCACAATTCTTCCTTGGCCATAGACAAAATGTTTACATTGTCGGATCCAGCGGTTTTCAGTTCCATGCCTGGGGGTTACAAGCAGTGGACATTCTAGACATTTTCCCCTCTCTAACACCTCTGACTAAGCTTGTGAAGGGGTTTAGTAGTTGCCTGAGGAGTTTAATCAGACGTATTGAGTAGAACACAATGTGAACAGGACTGGGATTGAGACTCACTGGGCTAATCAGTTATTCATCATTGAGTTTCATTTAGTTGTATGAAAGAACAGGTCAAGAAAGCAGGGGGTTAAACTACAGAGCTGAATGTATTAGTAAAGTGTTTAGTTTTGTACAAAGTCACAGTTGTATGCAGATGTTTGACTAAATTACGTCTTGTTGACCTTCTAAGTTAACACATCCTCTACAGAGAACAGACTTAAATATGGCTCTATTTTGCAAATGTAAATGCCCACTTGCTCTTTATTTGCGGAGTTTAAAATATTGGAGGAAATAGAACATAAAATGTGCCATAACTTTTGCACAGACCATTATTTATGCTCCTCCAAGTATGTTAAAATGAGCAAATTAACAGATGTTGTGCATTAAAGAGCTAATTTTCACTTAGAAAAGCAACACAAAATTAGACCAGGGTGACCAAACTTTTGCATATGACTGTACTATAAAGTACAAACATTATGCACAGCTCTTGCATTACTGCAGTACCAGTTTGTAACCCATGCATTCAACTTTGCAGTTGACCTCCTGGGTTCATGGAGAAAGAACTTAACGTTTTATTCATCGTTATTTTTTTAAACCATGTAGAATGTCTTATGTATTATTTGTCTGCGGTACTTTTGAAGGTGCTTGAGTATTGCTCTCGGTAAGCTGATTTGTAATGGAGAGTCTCCTTTTTTTAAACTCAAAATAAAAGATGGATGAAGCTGTGATGTGTTTTCATTTTTATTTTTTTACAAGACACCACCACACTGAAAAAACTTAAAACTTAAATGTGTGCAGGCTTATTCTTTTTCTTGGGTTTAAATCTCTTTTTCAGTCCTTTGCCGGTCTTTGTGCTGGGGTCCACCATCTCCCCTGTGAAGGACGTTGATGTTTTGTTGCCCCGACCAAAACCTTTCTTAAAGGACTGTCCTGCTGACTTGTTGCTTTCAGCACTCTTAGCGCCTTTAAAGCTTCCAGGCTGAGGTCCTTTCCTTCTCCCTGCACCTTTCCCACTCTGTCCTTTAGCATTTCTCCCTGAAGCACTGCTGTCTTTCTTCTCTTTCTCCTTCTTCACCGACCTCTTCACCCTGATCTTCCGATCCTGCAGCTGGGAACCGTTCAACTTCAGGGCTAGCATTACAGAATCTGAGTTCTGAAAGGACAGGAAAACATGTCTGAATCTGAGTGTGACCTAATTTCTTCATAAAATTGACAATGACAGCTACAGAATATGGGTGCACAGCATAATGACAAGTTTATATGTATATAACAATAACTATCACTTTCAAATGGTGGCAAAAAAGATCATTGGTAGCAACCAAGACAGTCAGCATCCACTTAGTTTGTATGTTGTAACAGTTATGAGAGCTAATTGCCCATATATACATTACACTGCAAGTGGCAATCACTGGGGTCCAAGCACCACAGGCTTTATAGAGCCAGTAGGACAGAAATGATGGGTAAAGTTTTTAAAATTTACAATGGATAGCGGGGTCTTATAAGATATCTACCACATTTCACATTTACACACTTTCTTTTGGCCTCAGTATGTTAAGCAACTGATTTTTTTTTCCAACAGATAAATCAAAATGCCTAAACAAAAGTACAATATTTGGACATGACTTTGCATAGTTGCAGAATTTATTACACAGCAGTTACCTCTTAACTCCCACAAAATCTGACACTACCCCTCTGACTTTTAAATGATTATTTCAGACATGACAGGGTGACTTGCAGCAGCCTACACACACCATATTTTAGCATGCTTTATCTCATGACTAAAGCTACTTTCAATAATAATAAACAAATAAAATCTTACATAGTGCAGCTTTAACCACTTACAATCCCAAGCTTATTACATTCTGAGGCATATTATTCAGGAACCACAAGGACTTTGATGCAAACCGGCTGAGCTATTCTTAGGTTACAGAAGTGTGTAATAAAAAATTGGGACGGCCGCTGGGCACTGGCCATTGAAGGGGTTAATCAGTAATATTGTACCAATGCCTTTCCTCCACCCCAACCAATATATTTAATATTATGTGTTTAATACACACAACATATATCAATGATAATATGAAGAAATATTATCACATTATGGTATTACTTCCCTAACATGCAGCCCTACTAGAAAATGATAGGATAGAAACCATATATATTATAGTGATGTAACAATGCAATTTATCCAACCAAACTGAGTCATACATTGTATTGTGACTAGCATGTTAGCTTGTGGTTAGTGTGTTAGCCTGGGCATAACATATTAGCTTGTGGCTTGGACGTTAGATCTGGACACTATGAAGCACGGCTTCTGTTTCAAATATTGCATTCTTTTAATTCACTAAAATCTGAAAACAAAGCATTAACAAATTAACATAAGGCACATTTTCAGGCACTTCTTGTTTTTGCTGTATTAAAATTGTTCGAATGGAGACCACTGTATCATATCAAACTGAATAATGAGTTTTGTGAATCGTTACATCTCTAATATTTTATGATGTTCTCACCTCGAAAAGGACATAACCAAAGCCCTTTCCCACTCCGGAATTCCGGTCCCTCACCAATCGCACAGCCTCCACTTTTCCACACTCCTCAAAGTGCTGCCGCAAAGGGAGTTCCTTTATGTCTGTAAGGAAGGGTGGTTTCATTAAGGAGGAATTACAGAAGATATAATTTCTCTAGATTCAAATGCATGATGGATTACCATATGGAAGATTTCCCACGAATACAGATCTCTTGTGGTCATGCTACAGAAAAAAAAAAAAACTAAGATGACAAATTTTGAATATATTCCAACTGAGAAATGTCAAGAAATTACAATCATTATGAATGCAAGTTTAATATTAGTTTTCCAAGACACTCACCGACAGATGCTTAGAAACTCGATCCACTCTGATGTAAACATCCTTCTCAATCTCCATCCCATTCCTACAAAACAATACCAGTGAGTTGAATTACTGGATGCATGAGGTGGTATCAGAGTATGTTAGTGGAAGTAATATCTGTTCCTTGCTTGAAGTGTTCTGCAATCACTCTGCTCTGGTTTTCTATTTTTCACTCACACCGAAGAGAAAAACTCTCCACATCTACTCAGTTTTCGTAATTTCTATTGCATTTTATATATACAGACAACTGTACAAAAGTCAGAGACCACTTTTTTGATCTATTTAATTTCTGGTCAAAATGGCCAGTTATTAAATTTTTAGCATCAGGAAGGAAAGCAAAAAACATATTTAACAGAAAAGTACACTTAAGTCTCCACAACTAAATATGATACTATTTTTTTAGTACTTAGTGTCCTCCTTTTGCCTTTATTACACCTTCCATTCTTTTCAGGAGACTCGCTTTCAGTTTTTCAAAAAACATCTTTTTCCACACCTCCAAAGTTCAGTCTTAGACCTTGGTTGCGTTTTCTGCTTCTCACAATTCAAATAATCCCAACTGCATTCAATGATGATGAGGTGTGGTCAGTCTATTTTTCTGAACACCAGCAGCTTCTTTATTTCATTTTCAAAATGTTCTTCTTTTTTTTATCATAAGTAAAAACTAATAAATTATAAATCCTGTTACGGAAACAATTTTATCATTTAAACATTTCAGACCCAACCAAAAAATTTCCTATTAATTAAAAGACGTATTACCTTTGCAGGGCATTCACCGCCCCTTCTTCCTCTTTGAAGACCACATACGCATTGATGCTTGGCCTTTTGGGGTCAACCTGGCGTCTAGAAAGAAACAATTACGTTATCTCATTAAAAAACAAACAAATAAACAAAAAAACCCAAAGAAAACTTAAACCCTTTATTTATATGAGACTTTAAAGCTGGGAAGATACATTCATTAATCATAACACATACCGAATGGTGGCTAGCCGCCGTGACATCGATGGATCCTCCCGAACCTGTAAGAGATTTCATCAGAAAACTACTACCTGACAAAATGTAACATTTAGCCGAAATGTGAAAACACTTACCACTGAGCGGAATCGAACTGATTCAATGCCTCCCAGATCCTTAAAGATCCTTTTCAAGTACTGCAAACCCAAACAAACAAGAAATGCACATGATGGACTCATGATCTTCAGTGTATGCTATGAAACTTGCCTTCAAAACTGTTGCTTGGTGGACTACCTTCTTTTTGCAGTTGACAGGCAAGTTGCCAACAAATACAGTCCTTTTTAATTTGATTCTCTCCTCCGCTGGGTTCTGCTGAATCTTTCGTCGTTTAGCTGGTTGCTCATCTTCCAGCATTTGTCTGTCGTTATCTAATTCTGGAGCTTTGCGTTTAACTTTCTTTGGACTTTTCTCTACGTCGTCGTCATCTGCATTTTCTAAGGCTGCTTCCCTTAAAGACAGAGACAGAGGACTCGATTTGTTTAAAACCAAGCCAAACTATATTCTCAAACAATGTACTGCAATGTGAAAAACCTGCTCTGTAGTTTCTTTTCAGCTGCTGATTTTTCTTTGGTAGTCTTCTTCTGTTTTGGAGCTTCTTTAACGCTTGCTGCCTGGCCTGCTTCAGGTTTTACACAGCTGGCTTTCTGCTCAACCTGGGTCAACAACAAAGACAAATCACTCCAATCAAACACCTGTTGAAGAGACAATCATGACCTCAGGCACTTACAAATTCTGATCTGCATCGATAGTGTGAGCCTACCTTTGCTGCTGGAACAAAGACAAGAGTGTTGGAGGATGCGGTTGAGAACAGGGAGGACAGAGCTCCAGTGGATAGGGTTTTCTTTGCACCCAGGCTGCTTGACACCAGGCCAACAACATAATCCTGTCCAGCATTACTCACTGCCGCCTCACTGCAAGAGAAAATACACTCGGTGGTAAATCTATGAAAATCCAAACGCATATGATGTTCAGTGTGCGTGATATTTTAATTAAGGGAATCGTTCACCAAGAAATTACCCAGTATTCAACCTTACCCCAAACGTAGTCGACTAGTCAAGACATGTCTCTAGTTTGCTTTTTTAGAGCTTTGAGGCTCATACAGTAGAATTTGACAAACACAAACCGACCAGCCATAACATTAAAATCACTGTTTTTTTACACTCATTGACCATTTTATCAGCTTCACTTGCTATATAGGTGCACTTGTAGTTCTACAATTACAGACTGTAGTCCGTCTGTTTCTCTGCATACTTTGTTAGCCTCCTTTTACCCTGTTCTTCATTGGTTAGGACCCTCACAGAGCAGGTATTATTTGGAGGGTAGATCATTTTCAGCTCTGCAGTAACACTGACATGATGGTGATGTGTTAATGTGTGTTTTGGTGGTACGAGTGGATCAGACACAGCAGTGCTGCTGGAGTTTTTAAACACTGTGTCCACTCACTGTCCACTTTGTTAGACACACCTACCTTGGTGATCCATCTTGCAGATGTAAAGTCTAAGACAGTAGCTCATCTGTTGCTGCACAGTTTGTGTTGGTCATCCTGTAGTTCTTCATCAGTGGTCACAGGATGCTGCCCACAGGACGCTGTTGGCTGGATATTTTTGGTTGGTGGACTACTCTCAGTCCAGCAGTGACACTGGTGTTTAAATACACTGCTGTGTCTGATCCACTCAGACCAGCGCAACACACACTAACACACCACCACTACTTCAGTGTTACTGCAGTGCTGAGAATGATCCACCCCCCAAATAATACCTGCTCTGTGGTGGTCCTGTGGGGGTCCTGACCATTGAAGAACAGAGTAAAAGGGGGCAGAGAAACAGATGGACTACAGTCTGTAATTGTAGAACTACAAAGTGCTCCTATATGGTAAGTGGAGCTGATAAATAGACAATAAGTGTAGGAACAAGTATACTCTTAAATAGGATAGTTCTTCAAGAGTTCTTTAGTAAATGGAATGGTTCTATTTAGAACTATATCATGCTTAAATAGTTCTTTGCATGGTGAAATGGTTCTTCAGACTGATGGAGAATGGGTTGTATATGGTTCTATATTGCACTAAAAAGGATTCTGTTGTTATAAGCTTGACATCGTAACAGTAGCAGAACCCTTTTTGGTGCTATATGGAACCATTTTTAAAAAGCCCTCTACAACACATTCGCCATCAACAGGAAGAACCATTTCACCACACAAAGAATGATTTAAGCATGAAATGGTTTTATACAGAACTTGTGGTTCTAAACAGAACCATTCCCCTTTAATAAGAAGTCTTGAAGAACCATTTCATATGATTTAGTTTAATATGATTGTGGTATTTTTTAGCTGTTGTTTCACTTTTATTATACTACTATACTTTTATCTTAGTATTGCCAAGTTATTGTTTTACACGTTTACTCATTTATTTATTTCATTATGTTTTTATTTATTTTACCCTTATTTGATCTTTTATTTATTAAGATACTATGTAGTAATTTTAATGGTTTATTCTTTTTTTTTATACTTTTTTACTATTAACTTCACTATTATGATTATTATTACTTTTGTTTGGCATTTGATATGTTTTTACAATTATCCAATTTTACAGTTATCCAATTTTTCAAGCTCTGTTTTCTGTATTGGCTCAGCTGCATTGTAAATGAGGGTCTCCCTCAAAGTGCTGCGTTTACTGAGTGACTGATTTTTCTAAAAGTAGAATCTAATCTACTCTTAATTTTAGAATCAGAAAACTCCGAGAGGACAGCGGGTTAATGATTAATATTACCTTAACCCGTTTGTGCTTAATGCAGGAAATCAACGCATTTCCCTGTTTTACGTTAATATGACCCAAAGAGCGGCTTCATCTTCTGACTTAAGTAAGAATTTTATCGTAATTATGTGTTTTAAACGTAAAAGCGAACACAAACCTCTGAACTGCGCGTTTCTTCTTCATGTTAGTTTCCGCGCTTTTCTCGCTCCTTTAGCTGCTTCTTCCTCGGCTTTTACCTCTTCACTGTAAAACTGAGCCCTGTTGTTTATTTGCGCATATCTTTCCCGCAAAATATGAAAATCTTTTAGTTTTTCCAACACCGAAAGCTCCACATGCTCCCGCGCCACAAGTGCACCAGCTTCTCTTTCCCATGCATACCAAGAGCGTAAATCTTAGGTTCCTACTCTCATTGTGTCAAGACTACATTTCATAGTGCTATAAGTTTGCAGAATTTGGTTATTGATACAGTGTGAGTAATTGTTGAATAATTATTTCAGTACAATTTTCAGCACTTAAAGCGGACATGACATTTCGATATGTAGTATTCAATCGTCATGCAGTTGTGAGGTCGGACTGTTTTTCTAACGGACCAGAGAAGAAGGGTTACAGCGCATCGTTTCCTCTGGCTGCTCAGAGTGATGGAGGAAAATAATCAACTTTAAGGCGGATTTAGTTGCAGTTCAGAGAAGGACCTGCTGAGGGTATGTGTTAATATCGTCTCTATGTAGTCACAGTGTGATATGTGCTCTTGGTTGGGTCTGAAAGAGGCTTTAGCTGCGTTGACTAAGTAAATATGTCACTCTTATCCCTCCTATTATGATAGCGAACCGGTTACGTCATTGATTTTTGCGGGTCAGTTAAAACAGTTAAATCTCCTCAAAACAGCCCTACAACACACGTTACTCTACAGTTTCATTTGACCATACTTGCCAACTACTTACCCATCAACAACACAGAGATAAACTTGTTTTATTGCGTTTAACTGCTCGTATTTACATTATTTACCTTAAAATAGGACGTTTGTTTTCATTACAAAACAAAGAGTCTAGAAAATGTTATGGATTTAAAGCTGTTTGGATGTAGGAGTCATATAGTCCGTTTGATTATCTTATTTCTAGCGTGTGTGAACATCACAGGTGTTTTATTTGTGTGGATGACATCATTTGGTTTTTTGTGTTGATGACATAAACGTTTATGGGTCAAAATGGATCCTTATGTTACAAATTAAACCAAAAGAGTTTAATTCGTTTTTCCTGAAGAAAACTTGGACACTTGTCGTGCTACTCTTGTGGGCCCTGGGGTCAGTCTGGCTGTACTGTGAGGTGCCATTCTACCCTGAGTTTCAGAGGCCCATTCTGTGTGGACATTTTTTGACATGAATGCCTCCCTTTCAGCATTTTGCTGCACTTCAGTTTCCTCATCAGAGGTTCAATTCTCAAGGTCTGAATTGATTTCAGATGCCTCTTTTTGTCTTTTACTATCAGCATCTTGTAAATCGTGACCAAACTTGAGAAGTGTGTGTGTCTGTTTATTGTCATAAAATTGATCTGCACTCAGTATCTGCTCTCCCTCGATAGTTCTGGATTATGCTTTTTTGCCACAAGAAATATTTAGTTCCCGTGCACAGTGTGTGTGTGTGTGTGTGTGTGTGTGTGTGTGTGTGTGTGAGTGAGTGAGAGAGAGAGAGAGAAAGAGAATGTACATCCGTGTGTATGTGTGTGGGTGTGTGTGTGGAAGTTTCCCCAATCCGCCACAATCTCGAATTGCCATTCTGAACTACAGGGTCAAATTGGACCCTGAACAATATGTTTGTACCCGAATGGTGTAGACACTTTATGAAAACATCAGATTGGTCATCTTCATTTTACACATTCATATCATCACTGTTGAAGTCATTAGAATTCATGAAAAGATTAGAAAGTGTAAACACAGTGAAGAAAAGAGTCAGTTTTGACCCAGAATACAGTAAAATGGTTAAGGTAGTTGGTACAGCACAGAGCTGACCTGAGGGTGGTCATTCTAATTTTGTGCACCATACATTCACATTTATTATGAAATCAAAAGTATTAATGAGGAATTTGTCCCCTTCACTGCAGTATCAGCCTCTACTCTCTGCTAATTATAAGGTGGTGTAGTTTAAGTACAAAATATACCCCATGGGCAAGTTTCCCAGACCAGACTATATTTAAACCAAGACTAAAAAGAACTTCCAATGGATGAATCACCATCGACGCTTCAGATTAGTCCAAAACTCCATGAACTAATGTTCAAACTTTGAAGATTCTTGCTCATCCAGCATTTCTTCTGAAATCAAGGGTATTAATAGAGAGTTCGTCCTATAGTAACATCCTCCACTCTTCTGAGAAGGCTTTACACTAGATGTTAGAACATCTTTGAGGATTTGACTGCATTCAACCACAAGAGCAGTAGTGAGGTCAGCTACCCATGTTGGCTTGCAGTGTCAGAAAACCAAGAAATAAACCTGGTCATTAATACCCTACATCAAATAACTACCATCAAATCCCCATCTCAATCAAATTCAGGCTGTGTGTAGAGTGAGATGAGGATCAGAGAGACGGATCAGTGCGGAATGGCCCAGCAGCTTCCAGAGGATGCGGTGGGTAGACGAGTGTCCTGCGATGGAGAGCGAGGCACTGTGAGATATGTTGGAACGGTTCCTCCTACGACAGGTGGGCCTGATATCCAACGGTGCATGTCATTTCATCAGCAGAAACACTGGTTGCTAAAATGATTATATAACGATAACAATATGATAATTTTGCCTTTGATACTGATAACTAGACAGTATGAGATTTTAATTCTTTTAATTTACAAACTGAAACTGGGCGTGGCTGAAATCTGAAATGAATGTGAGGTGAGGGAGGTGGATATGTTTACTGATCACAAGGGACTGTAGACTAATCAAGAAGCACTAATGTTAATAGTATGCATTTGAAATGTAATTCAGACAGCCAATCAGCAGGCCAAATTTTGGTACAAGGATGATTGGCTCAGAGATGCTGATAAGACCAATTTTGTATTAACAACTCAAACATTGACATACTATGTCAAAATAATGAATTTGGTCCAATCCTATTTCTTATTTTTACCCCTACCCCTTGTTTCCGCTTGAAACTGAGTTACAACGGGTAGTGGTTGAAATCTTCCCCTATGAAATAAGACCCTCAACTAAAAAAGAACATTGCTTTACTAACAGGCTACTAGTGGTGCTCTGTAGGCAACTCTGCCAGTCTGCAGTGATAGCAGAGGAGGGTAAAGTTCAGCAACCTCGCTGCTGGGTTTTAGTTACATTTAGGGCATCATGCCTTCAGAGAGGGGGGATGAGACAATTATATTTTACCCTAATTCTTTGGTGATATGAAGCTGAAGTCAGCTGTTCGTCAGCTTCTTGTTCTAATTTTCCAGTTCCACCTTAAATGGTGAAGCAGTTCAGATGCCTGAAGCGCCAAAATGTAACTGCTGCACTATTTAAGGTGGAACGGGAAATTTAGCTAACTAGCTACTGAGACATCAGCATACAGTGTTTTTTGTTTTTTTTTATGCGTGTTATGAGAAAAGGACCATTTTGCATTGAAACGACTCTGTTTGGAGTGTACCTTTGAAAAAACTCTGTTTGGAGGGCCATGTAGCCCTAACACTTAACCCCCCCTCTTCTATCTCAACAACAATCAGGACACCCTACCCCTAGGCGTGAACACGCAAAACAGAGGGTAAGACCTAAGTGGTAGGGGCAAGGGGTGAAACAGGATCGGGCCTTTGTATCTTCAAATAATTACTTTTTTTTCTCAAACTTTTGCCTGTGTTAAAATATTGGATTAGTATGTCTGAGTCAAAACTCTGAGGAAGTAAGTCAAGGTTTCAAGATGTTTATTTAGATGACGTTTGGTATTGAATGACATGATTTTTTAAAAACTCATTAGTATTGAAAAATTTTGTTGGTACCATGACATAAAAGTATTGAATTTTGATACCCAGCCCTATTGGTTGCTTCTTTCTGCTTTATCTTGGTGTTTTTATTAAAGGTTTGTGGTTTGGTGTGGAGTGGGACAACCCTGAAAGAGGCAAACATGATGGAAGCCATGAAGGAGTTCGCTACTTTACATGCAGGTAATGTTTGTGATGTGATATGAACATGATGATATTCATGATATTCATGCCAGAGCATGAAGAAGCTTCAGTGTAACCCCTAACTTTCCTCTAAACCTCTACTTTAATTCAAATTTCATGTTAATGTTTAAAATCAATCTCACACATTGAAAAAATAATGCACTGAATTTAATTGATTCAAATGTGTCCACAATTTTGCACACAATTAAAATATATTACATCAATAAATTTGTCTTTACTTTTGACAATAATTACATCAATAACACTAATAATAATAATTCTTATTTATATAGTACTTTTCATGCCAGTGGCAGGTCAAAGTGTGTTACAGACAGGTGATAAAGCTTAACAGTAGTACAAGAAATTTTAAGTATTAATTCAGAATCATATAAGAATATGACACAGATCAAATTTAAAGATAAATACCACGAGACATAGAGTTTATTAAATGCTGAGTTAAAGAAATACACTTTTAGATGCTTCTCAAAAGTGAGCACTGAGCTTGACTGTCTAATAAAAGGTGGAATTGAGTTCCACAGTTTAGAAGCAGAATAACTAAACGAGTCTCTCCATGTTATCTATATTTTACAGAAGGTATTTGTAGAAGCCCACTATCTGCCGATCTAATATCACATGCTGGAACATAAACAGGCAGACACTCAGTGATGTAAGCGGAGCTTTAAGGTCATTTAGAGCCTTAAAAAGTAGTAGCAGAACTTTAAAATCTATCCTGAATAATACAGGTAGCCAGTGCAGTGATATGATCTCTCTCTTTGTTTTTGTGAGGATCTGTGCTGATGCATTTTGTAAGTTGTAAGGGATGTATTATTTTCTTAGGAAGTCCAGTAAGAAAATCATTACAGTGATCAACTCTGCCTGTAACAAATGCAACATTCTCTGCATCACTCTGAAATAGAAAAGGCTGAATTTTAGGTTGATATAAAATCATGTGGAAATTATTAATGTGGAATTTGTTTAGGTGGAAATTATAACACATTTGAATCAGGTAAATTCACCACTGCAGTTACGTATTTTCAGTGCATGAGAGTGACCACTGTGCTTACCCGAACAGCTCATCATGCAGACATAACATGAATTGTGGTCATGGATGTTTTTGTGTGTCACTCTCTGTCTCATAAGGCACCCAACAGGGGGGTCATTTGTGCGACCCAAAAAAGCTGGCTTCGGTGTGGACTTCCTGACTGCTGTAAAGCAGCGCTATGAGCTGTGCCTGGACCAGGCCATTAAAGAAGAAGTGAGAATCTCCACCAAGACTGTAAGGATGGTTGGCTTTGAGTCCATCATGGAGAAACAGAAGTGAGTCCAGGCAGCATGTTTATGCTAGATTCATTCAGGTCCATCTCTGTCCTCAAAAAGTGTGTTGCATGATGCTCTGTTAGATCATCTCAGTGGTGAGGAACTGTTCTTAGCTGTGTTGCTGTTTTTTCAGGATGGAGAATTTAGCAGAGGTTGCTCTCATAAATTGTGAGGTGTCTGGTCCAGGCCCTGAAAATGAAATCAAGAAAAACACACCCAGTATCCTTTTGAGAAAGTAATAAAAATATGGATGAAATCTTCCTCCAGGTTTTTGATGGAAGCCCATTCCTGCCACATAGAGGACAAAACATCACCTATGATTTTTCACCTTCTCAGTTTCTAGCAGCAGTATGTCAAACTTATGACATAATATCTCAAAATAATGATATACATACATACATCATCTAAACCACTTATCCTTCTGGGTCGCGGTGGGGTGCTGGAGCCTATCCCAGCTGTCATTGGGCGGAAGGCAGGAAACACCCTGGACAGGTCGCCGGTCCAGACAGACAGACATACACATTCACACCTAGGGGCAATTCAGCATGCCCAATCAGCCTGACTGCATGTTTTTGGACTGTGGGAGGAAACCGGAGAACCCGGAGGAAACCCACGCAGACACGGGGAGAACATGCAAACTCCACACAGAAATGACCCCGGTCACCCGGCCGGGAATCGAACCCAGGCCATTCTTGCTGTGAGGCGACAGCACTGCGCCACCGTGCCGCCTCAATAATGATATAGTTCCATCTAAATAATGACTTACTATCTTGTAATTATAACTTATTTACTTAAATGTTAGGCTTAATTGTTTGACTTGCTATGTCAAAATTATGACTCAAAATAGTGACAGTGAACTTATTCCAAAATACTTTTTTTTTCTCATGATTACTAATTGCGTAACTCAACATTTTTAAGTCATTATTTTTAAGTCAAAATCTGGGCTTACTGTGGCCAGAAACAGAGCAGGAATGCCTTTCATAGGTTTTGTGCTCCATGATATTACGTTCTGAAGATGATTGAGTGCTCCTTTAACTAGTTCTTCTAAGATGTAGTTTCTCTGGATCTCTCTGGGAATCTCTTGAACTCCTGGGAGGTGGTGGCAGCGATTACAGAGCAGCTAGAAGAACTGCAAGTACTTTGCCTGAGGTAAGCATCTATCCATCCATCCATCCATCCATCCATCCATCAATCCATTTGTTCACATTTTGTTGTTTTCCGTTTGCTACTTATTCAGTCTGTCAGTTATGTGCTGCTGCCTTTCAATTTCAAGCTTTATTGTCAAACAGCATCAACTGATGTTGTTTACAGCAAGTTCAGCTCAGGCTTCTTGTCTATACATTCAAAACAGATGTGTTAAAAACACCACCACATAGTTATTTTATCATATTTTATCATTTAAATATGTCCAGTTAAGGAAAACTAATTTTGTGTTACTTTGAAGACAACCAGTATTTTATTTTGCTTGACACAAGTAATTTGTTCGTATTATTAACAAGATGTGTTTCAATTTCGCTTTGTAGTCATAATCGACTTAGCATTGCCTCCAGCCCTTCCAACCTCAACCCCGCCTTCTCCAAACTAAGGGTCTTAACACTCAACAGCTGTGCTATCACCTGGTCTCAGGTAGGGGACAGTATCCGCATACACACTCTCTAACATATCAGTGTTTTATTGTCACCTCAGCTCAGTTCATCACCTCCTACCGAAAGCATGAAGTATGGGCTACAATATATATTCTGATTAAAGGGGAAATCCACTGATTTTTCAGAATTTCTGCATAATTCAGAGTTCTGAAATATAAACAAAGTCATTCAGAGTGGTATGATGTAAAATGGTTCATTGTAGAGAACCTTAAAGGCTCATTTTTCTTTACAGTGGTGGTGTGGTGGTGATAGGAACCAGGGGTCACTGTATCCAAAATGAACAGTGAACCTACATGTGTATTCGAGTTTTATCATGTAATGCTCATAGTGGTAAGATAGTGGTTATAGTAATAGCAGTGGAAAAAAAAATTATTTAGGGACTATTGCCATACAACACCCTGCACGCACCTCCACCATCAATTTATTTAAATGTGTTTTTAAAAATCATATGTATTTGTAACTATTTTTATGTAATAGCTTTCTGTAACTGAGCTTTTAAGAAGCATTAAGCAAACAGACGTCTGGTTCCTATCAACACCACTGTGAACCTCTGACTCTGTAAGTTTCTCTAGAACGGAGCATTTCACACCAAACCAGTCTGAATGGTTTTGTTTACATCTTAATGACTTACACAGAACTTTTGAGAAGTTGTTTTGTAAATCCATTGCTCTTGTCGTCTTTCACAGGTGCTCTGCTGCGCCCCAATGTGGCCACACATAGAGGAGCTCTTTCTTAATGATAACGATATCACTGAATTACAGAGGTGAGACACTTCATATGCTAATAATCCAGTCAGTTTCCTATATATGGAATCACACATCATTAATGTATGTTTTTGGTACACATTTAGGCCAGTAGATGTGCTGCAGGGTTTGAAGGTGCTGGACTTGTCCAACAATAGTTTAGTTCAGGAGAGCGTACTGCAAATATCAAACCTCTCCAGGTAAAACAGAAATGTTTTAATACATTGTACATATTTAGATTTTATGTAATTGTTTTCTGATTATTATAACTGTCTCTCTGTCTGAAATCACAGGTTGGAGATACTAAATCTCTCCGGTACAGGTTTGTCCACCGTTCACTTCAGTGACGCATTACCAGGTAATAGACTGCTCAGAAGTACCAACATAATGAAGGGAAAATTTTGAAGTAGGAAAGTGCTGAGAAGAAAATTCCAGGCCAGAATCAATGATCAGAGTTTTTGAATCTAAAATTGGTGATATTGGGCTGAAACACATGCCAGTACCAATATTTTAGATTTGTTACTATTACTTATAAAAGTAGAAGACAATAGGTTACTAACAGTAAAAAATGTACATTTTACATTTGTGAATTACTCCTTAAATTAGTCTAATTGGACAATCTGGCCAAAACTTTAAATTTAACTGTTGTAAACATGTCCACTCACCTTCTACAGCACTTCTACTGCCACAGTAGTCTCTGGAGTGAGATTTTCCAGTTTAAAGATTAGGTGAACCCCCTGGATGATGTAGGGACTCCTTCAGGGTGGATATTTGAGGCCACACTGTCTGAAACGTTTCATTTTTTTGTCGCCAGCTGACAAATGTAGGAGATGCATGGCTAACATTGCTGCTATGAAGCCGAATATCTTACTGCAGCTGTATAACTATACCAACTGTTTTCAAATCTTCATTATAACAAAGAGAATGAATTACCCAAAAGACTTGTTATTACCTCAGTTGGCTTTTTTTTCTTTGGCTGAATTGTTTGAAATTGTAAAAAAACGGTCTCTGGTGTTCATTTAGTGCTAAATAAAGATTGAATCTTTTATGTTCTTTATGAATTTTTTTTGATGGTAAGAGCTACAGTAATGCTACCTTGGTTGTATTTATTAGCCTATAAATCAGTGACTAGGCTAGCAGTCAGGACTGGTTGACACCACAGGGATTCCCAATGATTGTATTTGTGTGCATTGAGGGATACAGTGCTGTGATACAGAGTGCTGCATAACATGACAAATACATCAAATAAACATGTTATTAAATAAACATGAACATGTAAACATGAATGGTTTTGTTCTAAAATGCATTATTGACCCCTTACAAAAAAATATTCAATTTTTTCATGGTATATGTTTTTGGAAGTGGGCTTTTCACATACAAAAATGTTATTAAATATATGCTATATTATGATTAACTACCTTTATTAGAAAAATAAAGATGCATTTGTCCATCTTAAAATTAGGCTTATCTTAATAAATATGGCTTTGAATTTGTAAAGGCACCAAGACGGCGATGTTCCCTGCGCTGAAGATCCTTTTACTAGATGACAATAAAATCTCTGAGGTAAGAGCCTGTAGATAGTAATAGAAATGTGGGACATTGGCACAGATTGGCCTAATAACCTGACAGTCTCAGTTGATTTCATTCACGTTCCTTCTTTCTTTTTCTTCCTCTCTTGTTCACTGTCAGTGGGGTGTAATTAATGAGCTGGACAAACTAAGCGCCTTGGTGCAGTTGTCTTGTAAGAGGAACCCCCTGATTGATTTGGACAAGAACCATGAGACGACCCGCCAGCTCCTCATCGCGCGTATCCGCCAGCTGGAGATACTCAACAGAAGTCAGGTGTGTATGTGTATGTGTTAATCTCAAAAAGAGCATCGAGACTGAGCAGACATACAGTGCTGCTGCTATGTGCTGTGGAAATCCAGAGCATTCCACACACACATTTCTCACTGACCACATGATAAAGTGTTTTGGAATGGCCAAGTCTTGAACTACAGTACTGTTCAAAAGTTTGGCATCAATTTTTAATAAACTCTAATATGTTCATCCTGTGCAACTTCACACCTCTCAAGCAAGCATCATTAGCAGTACACTGAGAAACTGTAACTAAAAATGCTGAAATTTAAGATGTGTCAGAATGATGAACAGAGCTTTAGGTGATTCTAAAACGACCTACAAAGCTCTATAACATTAACAGTTGAATTCTAATAAAAAATAATATCTACAATTCATCATATTTCAAAAGTGGAAATCAAATGTCAAGGCAAATAAGTTGACACAAAAGTAATGTCAATAGATAATTACAGTATATTAGTTATCATTCATATCATACCTTTTGTTCAGAAATGTTAAATAAATTGGCGATACAATGTTTAAAGCTGCACTGTGTAAGATTATTTTGTTAAAATTGAAAGAAGTAGCATTACCAAGTCAGGAGAAAAAAAAATGCTACAGTTTGGTGAGTGAAAGAGACATCACGTGGGATTTCGTGGGCATTTAGATATTAACGTCACACACAGGCTCAAATAGAAGGGCCAGCTGGATGTTTAGCTCTCAAATGCAAAATCAACATTATACTGACGAAGATATGATGACTGCAGTAGATAATTCACATCCTCAGAAGACACGTGCATCACCAAGGTTTGACTGAGTTCTCTTTGAATGCTCTTTTAATGCGCTCACAAACATAAGATTCATCCACTCAGGGAAGGGGTCCAAAGCACAACCCATGTTAGAAAGTTATAAAGTTGCATGCAATTACACATTTCCACCAGAGAGGTCTCCAAATCTCTAAATCCAGAGAATAGACATAGAGTAGCTTTAAATCAACATTATATAAGTCACTGTTATATATAAAATGAAAAAAAAAAAATTTAATATGGCCAGTGATTCCAAGACTGAATAGTACAGATGAAAGGTCTACTGAGGAGTATCCCAAAGCTCTTTGAAGAAAACATTTGATGATAAAGTGTCTTTTATCCAGCATGTTTTGTTCATTTTAATTGCCTGTAAATCTGTAAGGCTCCGTAGATGATTGTTTCTCATGAAAACAGCTTAATATTTACTATAATACAATTGTTAACAGCAGACTTATTATTCATTTATTAATCGTAAGACTTATTGTGCAGTAATTAGTACTTACTATGAATTGTTTGCAGAAGTATTATTTAAGTTATGTAGTTATGAGAGTGAGGAACTGATGTCTGGCCCGCATACATGGTCTTGCAATTTATATACACTAGGCCTAACAACACACCTGCACCGTGATTGTGCTCTCTCTCAGGTCCTGCAGGAGGAGAGGAGAGGTGCTGAGCTGGATTACTGTAAGAAGTTTGGTCGAGCATGGCTGCAGGCTGGAGGCCACAGTGTCCCAGAAAAGAACCAGCCCAGTGCAGAGTTCATAGCGGAGCACCCACGCTACATCACCCTTATTCAGAGTGAGTCACCACAATATATTTCCCCTACACATGCAGGCTGAGCCTCAGGGCTGTAAAAGTGAATTATTGCCCCATGGGACATTGATCTGATATCACTACATATCAGTTTCTATGGGTAAACACTAGACCAGATATTGGAGTGAAATAAAAAATGAATGTATTCCAGTCCTATATCAGATTTATTCTGTGCAATGTGATGTCCTTGCTGTTGGCTAGTAGAGTAGTTTGAGGATGATAGCCCACTTTTAAAGTGACACACCTAAATTAAGTTCATTTTAAAGCTTAATAGATTTGAAAGCATTTTTCTTGTATTTATTTTTACCTCTGGGGTACATTTATAATGTTTGTGTTTATTTATATACCCCAAATAGTCAAAATTCATTTTCACATTCTCTCTTTATCCCTTAGAATGAAACAAGTTGTTTCTGTTACTGTGCCTTCAAGACTGAGGTATTTAGATGAGCTCAGTTCTGATTGGCTGCTCTGTACTGTGCCTCATTCAAATAGCAGTCTGAGCTGAAACACTCCTTTTAACTTCAGTGTGAATGGCTGGTTCTAAAATGCTGTAGGCTGAAAAGGTCGATATTTGTAAATGAGTAGGTTTTCATGACATCACAAAAACAGTGAATTCAAAAAGGGGTTGTTTTTGCAGCTTTCCATAAATTGGCTGAGGATTTAACATTTATGTTTAAAAACTTTAGAAATGTTTACGTACAGCGTCAAACTCTTACCTAGAAAAAGTGAGTAATATTTGGTTTTCTTTGATATAGGCCCTTTAAAGAAAACAGAATAAAGTATGCACTATTTTTTTGCTAAAATAACATTTCCAGGCTATTTTATTATTCAGTGTATTTTTAAAAATAATAACGAATTTCACCTAAATAATAGAACTAATAGAACTGTTTTGAAATTTAAGATTTCATGATGCACTTAAAATGAGGGGTCAGAGTTTTGTACATCTGGCCATTAGAAAAGCCGAGCTACTGCTAGCACACACTCGGTTCAGTGTGATGGATGTGTTGGGGTTTTGATTAATGACTGTTTGTTTGACTGCTTTATTATTAGAGTATGGTGCACCGGAGGAGGATGAGCTGAAAGAGCAGAAACCTTTCGCTCTAAAAGACCAGTTGTTGAGTGAGTAGCTGCTTCACATTATGATTTTATATTTCAAATGCATCTCTAGGAACATCTGAATTGTCTCTGGACCAGAAACACGCCTCCATTTGTCTGAAATGTCTCTCTAAAGCACATTCTCTTTTTTTCTTTTTCTTTGCTCTTTCTCATCAGCCGTCACATTTGAGTGCCCCGAGGAGACGGACAGGAAACCCATACAGAAGAAGCTCCCAGGTAAAGACCGGCGCACTCGATCACTCACCGACTGTTACCTTAAGGTTTATCCTGGTTGTGTGTATTGAAGAGTTTCAATTTATTTTCAGGGTCGATGGTTGTTCAGAAAGTGAAGGGACTGCTGTATAGACTCCTGAAGCTCCCAGGCACAGAGCTCCACCTCAGCTACACCAGCTCCAAGGTGAAACACACTCTGTTTATTCTGCTTCACCCCACATTCATACAGCACTGAGTGGTTAGAATAACAGTTCTTTTAAGAAACTGCTGTTAAAACCATCGGTCAAAAGTTTAGAACCATTGTCATAGTAGTTATTTTAATCTTTTTATCTATAATATCTTATACAACGCAGATTTAAATATAAAACTAGACACCAAAATATATTTCCTTGGGAAGCTAAATGACTGAAAATCAATGTTGGTATAATTTACAAAGAAAAGGCTAATCCTTTACTATTACTGAGTACATTATAACAAATTATATGATGGTATTTTAAATTCTAAAATAAAAATTCAGTTGTCTATTTAAATAACACCAAGTAAAGTGCTAAATCAAAAATGAAAGACAACTTGCTATTTCGCACAAGCGGTTCTGAATAATTAGGGTACAATATTTTGGTGTAGTTATAGCAGCAGAATTCAGATACAGCACGAGTGAAAATTGCAACACAGCTTGGTCAAAATAAAAATAATAAATTGGCTGATTGCTGATATTAATTACTGTAATGGAGGTTACTTTGCTTATTACTTTCAGGAAAAAGTAATCTCACTGTTTATTACTTTATGTACAAGTTATTCACTACAGCCCCTACAAATCTGTACTAACTAAAGTACAAGAAAAAATACAGTATTATTAATATTAATACAAAACACAGTTATGATTAATTATGAATATGGCTTTTGTTTGTGAAATAAAGTCAAGTCTGGCTGGTTTAGGTGAAGTTGATGTTCTCTCTTCTTCAGCATGGTTTATCCATTAGTTTATTATATTCATAGTTTTGTATTTGTATAAGGGCAGTCACAGAAAATACGGAAGCAAAATGTATGTTTCCCCCTATTACTTTAACTAACGTACAGTAACTGTGTTTCTGTACATTTTAGTTCCGTTATTTGCCTTGTGATCTGACCAGTACAACTGAAGTATGAAGCCTGCTGGATATTAATTGTATTTTAACTTCATTCTTCATGTTACACAGCTTTCTCTGTTATGGAATTAATATAGTGATCCTAAGAGCCCCCCAGACCATCCACATTTATCCTTAATCCTAATTCATCCTCAAGTGTTGTGAGTTGGATTGGAGCAAAAATGTGGACCATCTGCTGGGCCCTTGAGGGCCGCACTGGGAAACACTGGTGTAACGGTTCCGTTTATCATTCTGGACACATCTAAAATTGAATTTGAAATAAATTGGGTTCATTTTTGATAACATTTCTATTTTTTGTTATGCAGATGGAGGGCAAAGAGATCGAGATTGATAATGACCTGAAGCCGCTGCAGTTCTACTCTATAGAAGACGGGGACAGAATTCTGGTGCGCTGGTCCTGAGGTGGCACCTGCTGGAGCTCGCTGAACTCTGCGTCATACACAGCTGACCTCCTCCACACAGAGCCCGAGTCTGCTGGTGCCTGCTTTCATCTCTCACACCGCCTCAGCACACTTCTATAACAGAGACTGGAGGGATCTTGTGCACACAGATGCCTTTTTGGCTTTCACATTTCTGTGTCCTCATTAGAGCTTTTGCTTGATATGGATCATGATCCAGAGCTACTTAATATTATCATCACATTTCGAATACAAAGTGTTCTTATTTAAACAGCATACTGTTTTAACTTAAAGCAGGATTATATTTGATTATATATGTTTGTTTTTAGTGTGTGTGATGGAAGGCTGCACTTTATCCTGCTCTAAAAGACCCGATTCCGTTCAGGAACGGTTTAATGAGCAGATCAATCAGCGTTAGAGCAAGACAAACACATGCTTTGTGATAGTATCTCTGTAGTCAGTTGCTGTGTCTCAACATTAGATGGCACTATGCAGGTACCACGTAGGAGAAATGCCCATTACCCACTAGCCAGTACCAATCTATAACAGGGATGCACTGATAATTTCTGTTAGCCAAAGTTGCAACATAAGATTATTTGCTCTTCATTGAGCCAAACTGGCATTTTAAATCTGTAAATGAAAAATCAGTTGCATATTTAAATGACAAAAATCAAATGCTACATCAAAAGTAAGAGGCAACCAGCTGTTCAGCACAGTCAGTCATAGGTAATTATGCTATGACACTTTTGTATTTAAATAAACATTCAAACAAGTGCATGTGCACACACCTGCCTTATTTACATCATTATATTGTACAGATCAGCCAAAATTCTGCTAGTTCTGATTCTAATCTTTAAGGAGCACTGCAGCTTTTGTTTTAAGCGTATACATACATACATACACACACACACACACACACACACACTATTGTGTATATATATATATATATATATATATATTTTATTTATATTTTTTTTATATATATATATATATATATATATATATTATATATATATATATATATATATCAGATGTTAGACTGTATGCTACGCATGTGTCAGAGATTAGGTTGAAGAAAGCTAGTTTCTTTTACTGAACCCTAATGCAGATTAATGCAGCTTAAAACTGACAGTTAAGACTCACTGCTTTTTTCTTGGCCTGAGGTTAAAAACGTGTTTTTCTGTGGCTTTAACAATATAGCATATGTACATTTACGACTGGCAGACATATGGCTGCACTTTTTTTAAGCACTGACAGTCATTTGTCATTTTCCTGAGTTATATTCTCTGAATGAAGAAGCAGTTAGAGGACATGCAGCTGTGATAAAACATGTTTTTCAACACAGACGGTCCCATCTGCGCATGGGAGAGAAGAGAGAAGAGAGAAGCGGGAGGACTGTTTTATTGTACAGCAGCTGCCGGGCCTCAAATACACCTTCTTCCCTTTCCGCCTTATGTGCACATCATCACTCATGTTGTCATGAAGATGGTAGAGGCTTAACATCAGATAATCAGAAACAAACGCCAGCCATGTAGCACTGTGAAGCCACACACAGGAATAAATAAATGAAGAGAATGTACTCCAGAGTTAAAAAAAAGGTGTTTTTATTAGACAGCTGTACAGAGTGGAACTGTTCTCGTATGAGTGTATCGCCGCCTCCCTCCAGCTGCGTCCACAGTACGTGCATGGTAACCTTAGCTAATGTGTAAACGCTGAGGCTGGAGCCCCGTTTGCGGGATGAGGTCAGGGAGGTTTGAGCCAACGCAGCCTCCAGAGGAACTCGGTTCAGATGGACAGGATCTTGGCCAAGACCCCCGAACCATCACCCCTGATTAGCTTTAACGCTTGTAAACATTTTTACCTGAAATGTGTATTTAAAGTATGACTATATTTCAGTCATTTATTTACAATACAAACAAAAACATAAAATTATTGTAAATAGAATTTTTATGTAAGTGAATTAATGTCATAATGTTCACCCCATAACTACCCTATCTGACCCACTGACCCCATACACAGCTCTTAGGGCTTTTTAAACTTTAAAGCAAAAAAGGTGAGATTTACTTTAGGGCTGTTATTATCGATTATATCAGGGCTATAATGATTCCCTTGGCCTACGATTCCATCAATACTGCTTTCGCGATTTCATTCTCATGATATTTATTGTGATGTGCCATGATATGTGTTATTTACTAATGCACATGCTTGAGTGAACTGTTGACTGGTGCTCCAACAGTTCAACTGCATTTAGTGCCAATAAGAGAACACTCATTCTCCATGATGCATATATAAAGAAAAAACTGCCACATACAAAATAAAATACACATTAATATTCTGTTACAAGCTTGAAATGACTTTTATAAGCTTCAAATGCCCGTGTTTAATGTAAAATGGCCAAAAACTGTTCATGTAAAGCACTTATCGCTAAAACACTACTGGGATCTCATAGGGGCGCTAGCCGAAATTAGCATTTTCATAGAGGTGTTACTTTCCTCGTTTTTGTTTTGAAATTTATGGCCCAAAATGAAGGCCTAGCGCTGTCACGGTTCGCCACCGAACATCATAATGTAATGATACATTGTTACACCCCAATAATCAGCCAATTATTTCGATGAATAAATTTAAAAAACAAATCATTTAAAGCTTTTCGAAGATTCAAAACACTTTATAGGAAATAGGTTAAACTAGGTAGCCATTGAAATAAATATTAAAACACTATAGACTGGTTTCTTGGACAAGGATTAACAAGGATTAGCAAAACCAACAGTGTTCCACTATTAAAATCCCATTTGGTCCAGATTTAGACCTAAACCAGCCCTATGTAACATTTAACTGGTTGTGTCTATCAGCCTTTGTTTCAACTGTGTACCTAAAACACGTTTTTCCCAGGAGAAAGACACACATTTATACCTTTCATGACCTAATGATAAAAAAAAGCCCAGTCAAGAGTCCATTTTAAATTTAAAAAACTGAATTTCAATAGATTATGTCCCATAACTAACAGTACTGAAGATGTACCCTTGACAGCATCACTACGTTTAGTACCTTTTTTTCTGAGCGTGTAGGATGATGCTCATGAGGCTACACCACACATATATATGCCCTTTATGACAAATGACACAGACCTACATAAACATTTATAAGCACTTACTTCAAAAGGCGTCATTTGTCTAAAAAGTTGCAGCTTTGATGTCGACACAACACCCATCTCGGGTAACAGATTTTTTTTTCTGAAGTTATGACCGTGTATGTCACAGTGACATAATGCTCATAATATGGCCCTTAGGATAAGAGAGTTTCGTTCTACCATTTATAAGATCTCAGCTGTCGCAGCATCAGCATTATGTTACTGTGATATACAATAAGCTACAAAATCAGTTGTTATAATGTGATGATAACACAATGTCAGAAAAAAACAATAGGTGTTGTCAACTTGACACAAAATCAGCCTTTTATCAGACAGATAAAAGTGTTCTTATCTCCTTGTGCTAATTAATAAGTCCTGTTTACACAGGACTTATTAATACCTGCTTATCAATAACCGGTTGGAATAAGCCTTTATAAATGTAAGTTTATGTCAGTTGTCATGAAATGTGAGATGATGAAGTTTAATCGATTAATTATGACAGCCCTAATTCAGTCGCTTCTTAACATGCAAAGTATGACTATTTTTCTCCATATGAACAATACAAAACACGGCCACCTTCACATGTTGCATTGTTTTTAGAAAGTGGGTTAAGCGGGGAAAGTTTAAAAATAAAATCAATTGATCGGCTACAATATAATCAGTTAATATATTGATATAAACCTCACACTATAATTTTAATAACTGTGATTCACAAGAATTTTGGTAATACAGTAACTAGTCTTAACTTAGACCCCATTTGCACCAGCTCACGGACCCCGGTCTGTGCTTAGATAACCACCGTGTTGACCATCCCTCCTTTCTGAGCCCCACACTGCAGTCCATACCTTCAGTGTCCCTCCTTTCACTCGTTTCTGATCCCCTCAAGCCGTTTACACAGGACTCTGTATCAATATCCACTTCATTTTATGCCACTAACTTTCCACATTGCGCTCCTATCTGCAGTATCCGGGCTGTAGTGATGAGGGTGAGGTTTAGTGGTTGATTTAGTCTTTTGGTAATTATCATACATACTGCTTTCCCCCCCATGTGAATCAAGTGGAATCATCTTAAAGGCACAGGCATCCCTTTTCCTCTTCTCGTCAGAACACCCGCGGCTGCCTCGTCGAGCTGCTCTCAGAAGTTTTGGTCCCTCTCGACGCAGGAGCCGTCGTTCAAGGTAGGACATCGGCAGGTGAAGCCCCCGGGCCGCGGGAGGCACAGGTGGGAGCAGCCGCCATTATCCCTCGAGCAGTGGTTCACTCCCACTAGAGAAAATGTGCAGTAAATTGTAAAATTAATGCAAGCACAGATTCAGAAATCACAATATGGAGTCATTGTTTTTAATAACATAAAGCAACCTTACATGTTCAAAATGACTAATGATTCTTCAAATTCAGATGTCAAATCTTTGGTAGGAAGCTGTAAAGAATTATGGGTAACTATGGTCTTTGGAAAGCTGAGTTCAATTTCCCTAGCCACACCCAAGCCTGATTACTGCCACACCTGTTCTCAACCAAGAAATCACTTAAATAGGACCTGCCTGACAAAGTGAAGTAGACCAAAAGGTCCTCAAAAGCTAGACGTCATGCTGCGATCCAAAGAAATTCAGGAACAAATAAGAAACAAAGTAACTGAGATCTGTCAGTCTGGAAAATGTTATAAAGCCATTTCTAAAGCTTTGGGACTCCAGCGAACCACAGTGAGAGCCATTATCCACAAATGGCGAAAACATGGAACAGTGGTGAACCTTCTCAGGAGTGGCCGGCCGACCAAAATTACCCCAAGAGCGCAGCGACGACTCATCCAAGAGGTCACAAAAGACCCCACAACAACATCCAAAGAACTGCAGGCCTCACTTGCCTCAGTTAAGGTCAGTGTTCATGACTCCACCATAAGAAAGACTGGGCAAAAATGGCCTGCATGGCAGAGTTCCAAGACGAAAACCACTGCTGAGCAAAAAGAACATAAAGGCTCGTCTCAGTTTTGCCAGAAAACATCTTGATGATCCCCAATACTCTGTGGACTGACGAGACAGAAGTTGAACTTTTTGGAAGGTGTATGTCCCGTTACATCTGGCGTAGAAGTAACACAGCATTTCAGAAAAGGAACATCATACAAACAGTAAAACATGGTGGTGGTAGTGTGATGGTCTGGGGCTGTTTTGCTGCTTCAGGACCTGGAAGACTTGCTGTGGTAAATGGAACCATGAATTCTGCTGTCTACCAAAAAATCCTGAAGGAGAATGTCCGGCCATCTGTTTGTGACCTCAAGCTGAAGCGCACTTGAGTTCTGCAGCAGGACGATGATCCAAAACACACCAGCACGTCCACCTCTGAATGGCTTAAGAAAAACAAAATTAAGACTTTGGAGTGGCCTAGTCAAAGTCCTGACCTGAATCCGACTGAGATGCTGTGGCATGACCTTAAAAAGGTGGTTCATGCTCGGAAACCCTCCAATGTGGCTGAATTACAACAATTCTGCAAAGATGAGTGGCCAAAATTCCTCCACAGTGCTGTAAAAGACTCATTGCCAGTTAGCGTTGTGCTGGTACGAGTGGATCAGACACAGCAGTGCTGCTGGAGTTTTTAAACACTGTCCACTCACTGTCCACTCTATTAGACGCACCTGCACTGTTGGTCCACCCTGTAGATGTAAAGTCAGAGACGATAGCTCATCTCTTGCTGTACAGTATGAGCTAATCATCCTCTAATTCTTCATCAGTGGTCACAGGACGCTGTTGGCTGGATATTTTTGGTTGGTGGACTATTCTCAGTCCAGCAGTGACACGGAGGTGTTTAAAAACTCCAGCAGCACTGCTGTGTCTGATCCCCTCAGACCAGCGCAACACACACTAACACACCACCACCACATCAGTGTTACTGCAGTGCTGAGAATGATCCACCACCCAAATAGTACCTGCTCTGTGAGGGTCCATGGGGGTCCTGACCACTGAAGAACAGGGTAAAAGGGGACAAAGTGCACGTATATAGTAAGCGGAGCTGATAAAATGGACAATGAGCGTAGAAACAAGGTCATAAGGTTATGCCTGATCAGTGTACTGTGTATCACGAAAATTTCTTTAAGTATCGCCATATTATATTTTTGCCATATCACTCACCTCTACATGAGCCCAAATCTAACCCTTATGTATCTTCAGCCTAAAACCTAAACCTTATCCTAAGAGGGAACACTGCTGATGACTAACAGTTACACCAGATAGGTTCTTAACAATGAAAGAATCTGTAGATGATCTATAGGGAACTCAATTAAGAAATGAAGTTACAGACGATTCTAAAATGACTGAGAGCCGTATCAATAATAAAATTAATATCCAGAATGCCTCAGTGATCAGGTGATCAAACCTTGAAGAAGATCATTTTGACAAAAATGACTATGTACACAGTCGCACAACCTTGTATCTTCATTTTTGTGGGGTATTTTTGCATAATTAAAAAATGCAAGCTTCAGTTTACTCCGTGTCACAACTGCATGACGAATGGACCAATAGAAACGCTCCAAAATGACAAATAAAACTTTTTTTTTTTCATTTTTGTTTCGTATTTTTCATACAGGGGCTTGTTGATTTTGTTGATTTTCTAAGTGAAAATAAGTGAACACATCTTCTACAGAGAGCACTCTTCTGCACATTTTAATGCACAATTAATTTCATTTGCTGAATTTAATATATTGGGGAAAAAAAACATAATGTGGCCTGTGCAAAAGTTATGGCACATTTTATATTGTAGGTTTTATTTTTCCAATGTGTTAAACTGAACAAATTAATTGAAATTGTGCACTAAAATTTGCAGAGCAGTTGCATATTTAAGTCTTTTCTCTGTTGATGATGTGTTAACTTATTTTCACTTAAAAAAAACAAAATGTCATTTTACCAGGGATTTTCAAACTTTTGCACATTACTTTGTGTGTTTGTGCATATTATCTATTATTCGAGCTTCTTGTTGTTCCCAAAAATAGAAAAATATGTTGAACATTTAATAACACATCTTCTGGGTTTATTACTGGTTTAACCAACTTTGTGGTGTTCAGTTTATATATCTGTCTAAACTGTACCAATTATTACAGAATAAAATAATTATTAATATGAGAAGTGGTAGACTGGTTAAATGGTGGAGTGTATTATAATATTTGAGCAATAAAAGGCCTTTTATTATACCTAAGACAGATTTTAGTCATTATTAACTGTATTACCATTTTAAAACCTGAATATGACAAAGAATTCCATTCACAGAAAGTGGAAGAGCGAACCTTCAGGGCATTGTGGGAAGGACGTGGTGATGCCATAGGTGCGTGATCTCTTCCGAGGCAGGAACTCGTCCACCTCTCTCTCTGCCACGCGGTCCACGGCGACCACAGATTCCCTAGCAAAGGACACCATAAACATACACGGTCAGTGACAGCCTCTCCAGAGCTGTGACCATATAAAGCAACTTTCCAACTCTGTCAGAGTAACGTAAACATTCAGATTAGAGACCACCCTTTGCCATATTTTACATCCACACTCTTATGAAACTCCCAACTGTCCGACTAAACAAATTATAAATTGGCTAAATACTTGAGTAAGGCTTTGGGTTAAAGGCCAAGCCATGCAGCACATTCCACTGTGGTCAAGCAAAATTCCTCAGAGGTCAGTAGTGACCAGAGAGAATGCCTCTCATTTGCACCTCAATGTTCGTCATTATGCTGAGTTCTACTACTGCAATACTGAAATACAGTTTGGCATTTTAAAATGGATCAGCGTGTGGAACTGGAGCTTTCTGTGAGCTGTGATGTTTTCTTTTCATATTCTATATTTAAAAGACGCTCCATGCTGCCTCTATTGTTATATAGATTCTGCGTGAGCGTGTTCAGAATGAATGGTTCTTTTTGATTTGTTTAATCAGAGTAACGATAAAAAGGCCACCAAAGGTAAACAAAATAATCTATGAATTATCAGCTTTGTTAAATAATTCCTTACATATCAACATAAATGCAAAAACATCGATAAATGACCATATTTAAGGATAAGAGTGGACTAAAGGGCAGAAACAGCTGCTTAAAGTGGAATCAGTTGCTGTAGTGAAGTTACTTAATGCGCAGTATTTAACACAGTCTAACTGTAACGTTATGAGGTCTCCGCTATACCTTCTCCAGTCTGTGTAGTACAGGTTTCTTCCATAGGAGACGATGGCGAATGGATAATGCACTCCATCCATGATCTTTCTCCTCAGACGAGTGTACGGGTCAATACACTCCACCTTGCGAGTACCTGCAATAACCGTTCAAATGCAAATAAATAAGACAATTTAAGATTAATACTACACACTCTAATGCAGAGGTCTTAAAATCCAAACCCTGAATCCAGTTTACAGTCCTGGATTTTGTAATCAGTGGCAGGTAACTGACATGTTGATGCGACTAGAGGGTTTTACTATTCACCTCTTTTGTGCTAATTTTGAAACGCATAAAAACCCGCACTCAGATGAGATGCCAAATTTGGTTTACTGATAAAGGAGATTCGTGAAAAATGGTGACAGAAACAGATTTTTGAAAGAAGTGATAATACAGCGGGATGCCATCTAACAGCAGATGAAATTCACTGGCTGCCTCTTAAACCACATATATTGTGTTGAATATAATATATCAAATTTATATCAAATACATCAAATTAGTACACCACCAATGGTGCCATTACTATTTGAAACATACTATTTAGTACAGTAGCATGAGAATTGAGACACAGTCATCAATACTAACTTTGGCCTGACGTTCAAACAGGTTTGGTGGGCAACATTAACGTTGGACACGGACTTCAGCCCTCTTTAAATGGACCACTGCCTGCTGCGCTCAGCATCTCTAAACTGTTACTGCTGTCTTACAGAAGACAAAGGGCAAAACTGCTCTTTTTCTGCTCTACTGAGAGCTAATAAACATTCAAATCCCTTCTGTGTCTCATGCTGCACAGCCCAAGTGTGTCACGATATCTTTGAGATTTTGCAAAATAAGAGTAGTGGACGCGAACACCGATTAACTGCCATTTTCTTTCTTCATGTCTTTTTAGAAACTTGCTTTAAATTTGCAAAAGGTTTGAATGGAAACCCTGCTATTGTCCACTTAGTGTCATTCATACCAGTTATTACAAAGTCCAGGACTGGAAACTGGATTCAAAATCCAGATTTGAAGACCTCTTGCCCAATGACTCTCATTAGCGATGCCCTAATCAGAGTCATTCAAGGCATTAAATAGTTCAATACTGGATATGCAAAGCCCAATCAAATGCCAATCCTTTCTTGAAGGGGCATTCCACCATTTTTTGAAAAAAAATGTGCATAATTTAATTGTTATGATGAAAACAAAGTCATTCAGAGCTGCCTGATGCCTTAGACATTGTTTCACTTTAGTTTTTAAATAAGGTCTTGGCTTAAAACATACTTTTTTACATGGTGATGTACATACAGTTGTAAGGTAAAATAGTCCCAAAAAACATCATTTTTAGATTTACAAATTAACACTCGGAAGACGTGTAGGTCCACTGGTCATTTTGAATGCTAAATGAAATGGCTGTATTTGTGTCATAGATATTGTGACCTCTTTGTGGTTTCTGTCACCACCACTGTATAGAAATCCAAGTCTGTATATTTCTCTGCAGTGCACTATTCCATGTCAAACCACTCTGAATGACTTTATTCACATCTTACTGACTGAACTATGCAGCAATTTTGAAAGATCAGTGGAATTCCCCTGTAAGTCTATTTTATCAAACTGAGCTCTGTTTATGTCACTGTTGTAGAAGTGAGGTAAACAAATGTTATCCACAAATTTTGAATTACACTGTTAGAAGTAAACAAGCAGTCTAAATGTCAGTGTAAAACTATTTTCTAAGTCCCAATGACCACTTGTTACCACTGCAATGGCAGTGTTTTGTGAAAAGGTAACAGCAGAGCCGCTTTCAACATGACCAATATAATAAAGCATCTAAAAGGAAAACATCTGGAGGAATATAGTTACTGTCAGCCATTACTTAAGTGTCCAATACACATTCATATAATGTACAAAAATACTTATTAATATTTTAATGTTGTACTACTTTAATATTGCCATTGTATAATTTTAGAGTAATGACGCACTTATAATTATATATTAAAGGGCTCATATCATGAACAGCTAATTTCTCTCAAGTTTTGAAGTAATATGTAAACATAATGTTTTAAAACATATCCAGTCCATATCTGGAGACTAAGCTGCAAAACAGTCTGTTTTGAATTCACTGTTCTCTGTGATGTCACAAAAACCACCACACATAAATCCGCCTTTCTAGCCTACAGCAGTTTAGCCCCAGTCATTCAAGTTATAAGCAGTGTTTCAGCCCAGATTGCTGTTTGAATGAGGCAGAAAATCAGATCACAGCTCATTTACAAATATCTGTCTTAAAGTCACAACAACAAAAGAAAAGGCAGCCTGTTTAATTCTAAAAGATAAAGAGAGGTTGCAGAATGGTCATGTACAAATGAATGGTTTGGTACATAAAACCACACAAATGTTTTTAAGCAGCCCTCAAAAGAAGAATTAAAAAGTAAGAAGACTGTAGGATATGGGCTCTTTAATACAGTACATGATACACTCTTAGTAAATGCAGGCCTCCCAAAACTGAAACAGAAAAACTACTAATACTACACTAATACTGCTCTTCAGATGATCTAATGGGATTCCTGACCTGCATCTGCCCAGCACAGCTGCCTGGAGTGACGGTCAAAGGTCAATCCGTTGGGCAGCTCCAGGTCCCCTTTCACAAGCACGGTTCTGTCTGTGCCGTCCATGTTGGACGCCTCAATCTTGGGGCCGTCTCTGTTCCAGTCTGCCCAGTACAGACGTCTGTTCCACAGGAAAAGAAGAAATTTACAAATGAAGACAGCTGAAGTCTGCTTTGCTCACTAGGTCGTACAAAATTATCTGTAATGGACATAAATTAATCAAGGATTACAAGTCTTTTACTACATTCCTTTAAATATGCAGCTGAAAATAAAGTTTCCAGTGAGACGATACAATGCAGGGAAAGTCATGTCCAAAAAATGTCCATAACTATTTGAGTGTCATAAGAATCACAAGGATAAATAATGCTCATATAATTTCATTCATTAGTTGGAGCTCTATATGGTACAGCAAAAGGTTTGTGGACTTGATTTTTCTATTTTAAAAGTTTTTTGCAGTTTTAGACCCCAATTCTCATGACTGCAATGTGTTCACATATGAGTTGTTCATTAATGATGTTCATCTTTTTTTTAGCTTTTTTCATTCTAAGAACATCATTTGTATTACTTTTAACTATTAAATCTTGAAACTTCAATGTTTCCCTTGTAATCTGTAAGGATGTGAACCAAAACAATATAATGTTAAGTGGCACAGGTAAAAAGAAAAACCTTAATGTAGTGTTAGTCATATACAAAAGTTTGTCATTGACATTTTTTTTTAATTTTCTGAGGGAAAATAAGTTCACACATCCTGTACAGAGGACACATTTCTGCACATTACAATGCACACTTCCGGTTTATTTGCTGAATTTGATATACTGAGAAATCCATTATCTTAAATTCAGCAAAAACTAGAAATTAGATATTAGAACATTTTCACTTAGAAAATCACATAACATTTTCATTTGACTGGGGGGTGTGCAAACTTTCGCTTACAACTGTGTATTTTAATAATTAGCTTTTAAAATACTTCAACAACTGTATCTAGGTGCGTAAAGAGAATGTGGTCACTTCAAATGGAAAACATTATTAAATATCAATTTAAAATCAATTAAATCATTCAGGTTTATTTTGAATTATTCAATCAGGCATCACTGTTTCTACATCTAAAAAACAGAAAAAAAAAAAGTTTTAACCGTTTTAATTTTTTCAAGTTGGGTTCTAGTATTTTTCATGTTAATGAGAATAACCCACCCATTGGCAGGGTCAGCAACGATGGCTCGTGGGTTTATGAGGTCGTTGTCGAAGAACACGCGGCGGTGGCGTCCGTCCAATGTGGACACCTCAATGCGGTCCAAAATGGAATCGGTCCAGTACATGTTTCGTGACAGGTGGTCAATTGCAATTCCTTCAGGACTTCCCAAATCTGTCGGTTTGAAAAAGTAGAAAAAAAACAAATATTCAACTCTCTAGTATTTTCTGAATACTCTACAACAGTGTTCCTCATTACCCTAAAGTTAGAATGGAATCAGATTTTTAGTGCATACTTTTTAGTACTGAATTTGAATGTGCTTGGAAAAGTGCTGGCCGCCCAAATCTGTACACATGAGCTGGCAGATTTCCATAACTAGCCAGCGGTAATGCAGACCAAACAGGAAAAAAAAAAACTAAGCTGTCTTCCCACCCAGAAAACAGCAGGGCCAAGGGTGGCCTTGGTGATGCGACACAACCCTCTTATGCCTTGCCCACACCAGAGGACTTCAAAAACCCTAACTGATGCTGAAAATGTGAGAGACCTCACACGCAATGACAAATTTCATCAAAATTTCCAGAAAAAAACACCACAGATTTCAAGGTATTCATGCAAAAGAGTCCTGACCAACAGGCACATGCACAGATTGATCCCAGGGGAACTTGAGCTCCTGGTCTCAGACTGTACAAATGCTCTCTTGTTGGTGTGAATAGCAACTGTATTTCATATTGCATCTGCTGTTCTTCAAGATCCTTTTCAATGAGATGAGGCTCAGCCTCGGCCCTGGAATAGAGCTTGTGGTTCAGCTTGGGTTCTAAGACATTCACTGCTCTTGGATGGCCCCTCTGGTGCACTACTGACCACCTGTGGTTCTCCTTAGAAACCCCAACCTGTCACGCATCACCACAGTGCTGGGAATCCCACCAATAAAATGCTGATTATCTTTTTAGGAAAGTCATAATGTGGTAATTTTGAACAACCACCACATAATGATGGAATTAAGGGGTGCTGACAAGTTTTTTTTTTACTGTAAAATTAGGGGTTGATATGAGACTCTATGGAGCTCTTAAATAGATTTATGACCAGTGATTAAATAGTACGGTCACTAATGTCATGGCTTTGCACAAGGATGACTGAAGTTCCCTCCCAAATCCCTGCATACATAGTAACAGTGCTTTTGCCTGTTTTTTGTTAACATTTGCATTTGGTTTTATCTGAAACATGATTAAACTGTTTCTCTTGGTAAGAGTGATTTCAACATACATTAAATGCAATTTAATTGAATTTAGGGGTCTCACCTTTGCTGTATTCCTTAGATGACAGAATGCAGTTTTAGTAATATTATTGATGTGGTTTAAATCAAAGTTCAGAACTTTAGCTGTTGTCAGTAGAGACAGAGTTCCAAGTCTGCTACACATGATTTTTGTCTTTTGCTTCACTACCAAAGTATTTCTGTCCTACAGTCATTGTTTTAAACAATGCTGAACACCAACCAACTTTAATGACATTATCAGGTGTTACAGATATGTTTAACATATTACCTGCACAAATATGAAAACTGACATCTTAATAATTTTTCTCAGTGGCAACATACACAATGAAAACAAAAAGGGCCAAGAACAGAGCCTTGTGGTACACCCCAGAGAATTTCACGCTTATCTGAAATATGTTCACCTATGCTAACAAAACACTGCCTTCCAGTTACATAAAAAACTTGTATGGCTAAATTGGCTAAACTGGCACATTTACAGAAATGTTTATTAATGTGCATTGTCCCTATAAATCTAAACCAAATTAACTAAATTAAACTAAACTAAATTCATTTAACCTTGGTTGGTCTCCACAAAAGACCAACCAAGTTCTCGAGCTGTTTATAAAGCATTCTGTGATCTACAGTGTCAAATGCAGTGGTTAAATCCAGAAGCTCAAGTAGAGAAACACTGTCTGCGTCAGCATTTCTCAAATCATTACTCAAGATCATTATTAAATTACCACTTTCACTAATGCTGTTTCAGTGCTATGGTTTGATCTGATAGCAGACTGGAATTTTCATATTACTTTAATTTAAGCACTCTTTAAGCCATCCCTTTAAGAGCTGATTGAGTTTAATGAGCTGATGTGAACTGAGCAGTCACCTTTTGTGATGATGGCCGTAGGCTGACCTCCCTGCATGCTGGCCCTGCTAATGGATGGCTGGGTGATGTCAGACCAGTACACCATCTTGTCCACACAGTCGTATGCAACAGCAATCACCACCTGATCCTGAGGAACAGTTGTAACCACATCAGACCTGTTTACAGAAACTACTACAAACTTTATTTCAGTCTGTAAGTGTACTGTAAACCCTGTTTAGTCATGTTTACTCGAATGACAAGAAGACAAACAGCTGCTTCAACAAGAAAACAACAACTGTCTAGACTGTCTAGACTCCTTCAATACGCCTTTCCTACCTTAGTTAACCCCACATACATGTTTAAAAATCAGAAAGGACTGTTTGAACAGGCATAATGTGCAGCTGTGTGACTCAGTGGCTATTGTTTAGTGACCACAGTAAAGCCTGGGAAGTTTGGCTGAAGAACCGTGTGACTGCCAAGGCATCCACCACAGTGGGTGTTTCAAAATCAACAGCATTTTAGTCAAACTACAAAAAACAAGATCCGCAAAAAGGAAATGCTTTGTCTGTGGGTCAGAAATACTACAATATAATAATTCAAGATGCTGAAGATGGATTTCCATTTGTTATTGCTTCTCTTACATAGCACCAAGAACAGTTAATTAGCTTATACAGTTTAAAATGCCTTCCTAGATTTTATTGAATTATTTCGCACTCACTGCTCATTGAAACAAGTGGAGAAATTCTGTGGAAAGTGCAGACTCCAAACTTACCACCACACTCTTAAGTCATGTGTCATTGTGTAGTCAGTGTCATGCCCATATCAGAAACTCTGGGTCTAAGCTGGATTTCTCTATGACAAAAATGAATGCTATTTTTTTTAAAAAAGCACTGCTATTGAGCTCTGTGAAAAACAAACACGTTCCAAACCTGATATGCTCTGTCCTGTGTACATCCCCCCACCGTAAGTGTCACTAGATCCTTTGAATTACAAGGTCTAGTAGTCAAAATGTGAATAGTACAAGTGATATTTATAGGTGAACATGTCTCAGATAAGCATGAAATTCTCTGTGGCGTACCACAAGGCTCTATACTTGGCCCACTTTTATTTTCCTTGTTTGTGCTGCCACTGTATGTGTTATTAGCAAGCTAACACTCATGTGCACTGAAATGACATTGCATAAAAGTAGGTCTACTATTACACTACAGCCTGACTATATACCAACACCAGCAGCTTAAACTGCTGCCTCAACTCCCGAAGCAACTTAACTACTATATCTGACAAAACTGAAAGGTTTGTGAGGGACATTTTGGTGATGTAAATTTAATACGTAGCTTTGTAAGCTTGAATAGAGTAATGGTCATATTTCGAGAAATATGTCCGTACACCAGAACATATCAGCTTCGAAGCATATTTTGTTCACCACAGGATCCGGGCTATTTTAGGAACACGGCATCCATTTTTGTCATAGAGCAAACCAGCTTAGACCTAGAGTTCGTAATATATGCATGATGCCAACTATAGAATGACAACACAATTTCAGAGGTCTTTTTGTATTTCGAAATTAAAGAAGATATTTTGTTATGTTTTAAATTTGATAAATATGTGTGTGCAGTCTAGAAAAAAAAATCCTACACATTTTTGGCAAATTTTAAAAAGTTTGACACTGAAACAAACACAAAATTGTTAGTGCAGACTCAAATTTATCCATATAGAACAGAAATCAAATGCAATTAAATAACTATTTATAGGGGTGGGCGATACGGCAAAACATGTCATGATATGTATCACGATATTTAGTTTGATAAGTTGGAAGACCAGATGGAAAAAAGCACCAGTAGTACATTTGAAAAAACTATGAATACAATGAGTACAATTTTCATTCAACAGGACTAATTACTCTCTCTTTATAATAAAACATATGGTTGGTCAGTACTCTTTAGTACTAATTATGTTCACAATATGCTCAGAAAAGCGTATTGTAGTGTAACTATCACAATAACAATTAAATATAGTCATACTGTCTACCTCTAAGTATTTACAAAAAAAATATTATTTGATGTATCAAATCAAATGTATGGCAAAACAACAATTACAACTCCTAGTGTTGGTATGGATTAATGTGACTGAATGGGTCAATGATCTCCATGTTTACACATTAACGGGGAACTCTACTGATTTTTAATAAATTCTGCATAATTAAATGATTAAGAAGTAAACAAAGTCATTCAGAGTAGTTGGTGCAAAATGCTTAATTCTAGAGAAATACAGTAAGTCAGAACTGTTCACAGCAGTAGTGATGGGAACCAGACGTCTGAAGAGTTTAAGGCCTCTAAAAGCTACATCACAGAAAGTTATTACATTAAATTGTTATGAGCCTGATGTCTGAGACATTGTTTTACAGTAGTTTTGTAATATACTTTTTTGCATAAAGTGAATTTTAATCAATTTATTCTAATCTGATCATGGTGAAAGGATACATTAAGGGTGTTCTAAGGCAAAACAGTCCCCAAAGAAACCTCTTTTTTTCAGATTTACCACTATTTTACCATCATCAACTGTACATATAAAAACCTATCACCATCACTGTGAATAAATGAAGACATTTAGAAAAGTTGGTGGAATTCCCCTTTAAGTGGTGAAGTGGTAAAAAAAAGGCAGTCAGTATTCAGAACACTTGAAGTCAAGTTTTTATGTGATCCATAATGGTCCTTTAATTTATCAAGATATCCTATATAATCATAATCATAAACTCTCATTATATTTGCCTTGTCATTAACATGAACGTATTATTCCTGTATTTGAGGCCTAAGAACATTTCCTTCTCGTGCGTGTCTCTCTGCTTCTCTTGTTTTCAGGAACTACTGTGAGACTCCTTGAAAAAGTCATTGTGACACAGATAAGAGTTGATTACAAAGGCCTAACTATCTCTAGACGTTTTTAAGCACCTGTTGAGACTACTGCAGAGCATTCAAGGCCCTCACCAAGAGTGACTGCTGCAGGCATCACAATGTGCCCACCTCAACATGACAATAAAAACAACTGTGGATAACTCACAGGTACATGAATCACGGTCTTGGCCTCCTCTTTTTTCATGTTGGTGCCGTCCAATGGAATGTGGTCGATTTTGCCGCTCTGGGCAAATAGGAGGTTGGTTCCTGGAGAAACTAGATTAACATCAGGCCTGGTGGTGGGGCCAAACACAGTAGGAAATACACTATGTTCCAAACCTGGAGGAAGACAGGAAAAGAATGAATGTAGGACCACAAGGAGAAACAATTCTGGAATGAGGTTCCACAAAACTATCAGCATGAAGTATCAGGATCATCTCAAGTGTTCAAAGCGAATGCACTCCTTTCTTACAGTGACCCCTACGTCTCTTATAGGAAACAGGCCTATCCTGGTTTATCTTCAGTTTTAACCACTAGACCAGTGGTCTGCATTTTATTTTTACAGAGAGCATGGCCTTAACTTTATTATCTTTAGGCAGACCAAGAGCATTTTATCATTCACCGATAGTGTCTTTAATAGTCGAACGGTCTTCAGTTTTGGGTTCCATAATTTGTTTTTATTTGAAATACTACATACATATTTATTCAGTTTATGAAAATCTAAATTCACCAAATGCCCACATACATGTCTTTGCAGACCACTGCTCTGAATCGTCAAAAGTTTTGGCAAATTTTATGGTTTTAAAAATGTTATATTCTATAAATAATTAGAAATTGTGCACTAAAATTTACAGAACGTGTCATATTCATATACAGTTTCTTCCCTGTATAAACTTATTTTCACTTAGAATATCATAGAACGGGTCATTTGTCTGGGGGACTGTAACTTTGGACATTGGAGGAGTTGAACTTTAACAGGGCCTTTTTGTAGCCATGTGAAAGAAATGACCAAAGCTTTTAAACAGCCTTTGGAAATTACTATAATTATTATAATTATTATCTGCTAACTGGGACATATGGATGAGTTATAATTATCGAGCAGGATGTGACCCCCCCAGCCCCCCAGGAAATTGGGGAAAATATTAAAAAGAGACTGCTGTATCTGGATAATTTACTTTTGATTATTTTTTGTCGCTTACTCTCTGTTTTGGTGTGAGACCTTATTTTTGTTGTTGTGTAGATTCAGCATTTTGACCTAAGTCCTAAGGCGGAGTCACAGAAGCATTTGCCAGTGGAATTTCATCTGCAGAATTAATTTCAGTGGATTTTGCTGCAGTGAGCAAATACATTTCACATCTATTTCAACTTTGGTGAATTCTGACAGGCGAATTTGCATTTTTAACCAATAGCTGTGTTGACTTTCTGAAAAAGTGGCCCTTTATACAGCAGCACCAAACATCCAAAATGCTCATTTTATCAGTGTTTAGCACAAACCTTTAAACATTTCGTCCCCACTGGCTCTTAATAAACACATGAAATACAGGCTGCATGAAACAGTCAGTCGGGAGACTATTACTATCTGTACTTCTCTGATTTTAGTATTTGTGGTTTGTGGTTGACAAGTTAGCCAGCCTGTTAACTGTGATGTTATCTTGTGGGCGAACCACAGCTGCACACAAGTCACCCTACTTCGTCAAAGTTGAGGTCGGAGCTAAGTGTGAGGTTAGATGAGGATTGGTGGGCTGGAGGAGTTCAAGGGAGTTAACTCCTGTGCCCAACTGAATCTGATGTAGTTTTAAACTGGTTCACAGAGCATCCATGTGCAGTGCTAGATTAGCAAGCATTTAGCCGTATGTTAACTCAACTTGTCCTTGGTGCACTGCTGAACTGGCTGAGCCTTTTCATGTATTTGGGCAGAATGTTAGAGAAGTTTCGGTCAGGAGTTTTTTTTGCCTTAAAATTTTTGAGTGCAACTTAAATCCTCGTCTGCTGTTTGCAATGTTTGGAGTTCCAGCCGGCCCCCTGTCCTGCTGTTCCAGGGTGACTGACGCAATGGTTTTTACTTTTCTTTTAGCCAAGAGAAGAATTGTGAATAGGTGGAACTCTCTGCCCCCCCATCGCATCCTCTATGGCTCGAGGATGTTATGTTCTTTTTGAGTCTAGACAAAATTAAGTTCAGTCTAAGAGAGATGGCAGGTTTTAGACAGTGCTGGCAATCTTTATTAACCATTTTAAACACCTGATGGACTGTTGACCGGGGGTTCTCTTTTTTAAATTATCATTATTATTTTGCTGAGGAATGATGAGGGGTTTTGAGGACTGATAAGGGGTGGGGGTGTTATGGTTGGTTGGAGGGTTAGAGGAGTTTTTGGATTTACAGTTGGGGTCAGGGAGGAGGGAGATTGAAGACACATTAACTCTCCTATTTGTGTTTTCCCTGACGGCATTGTTTGAAATAAAGGGAGAAAAAAACAAGTCACCCTACTGCCAACAAACACGCCAACTACCTACAAATCAGTCTGCAGCACTATTATAGCATCTGATTTAATTATGTTCACTTCTGAGTTTTACTGTTTATAGTAGGCGAGTTAGCCAGGTTGCTACCTCCTGTGTTAGCTCTGCACTCAAGTCACCCTACTGTACTGTACTCTAATGAATATTTTGTTTACTTTTTGTCTTTATTGTTTATTGTTAGCAAGTTAAATAACTTGATAACTACCCCAAAATGGGTTTTTTTAGTCACCAATCCTCAGGTCCAACCTTGATCACAAACTGAAAATATCTAGTATGACTGCGGCTTTAAACAATTAGCCATCTTTAGAGGGCAGATTATAGCGAATGTAATTTTCCTGTGCTTACACATGGGTCTGCTTCCTGGTCCAGTTCTGGTTCCAGGTATCTCCTGGCCATTGCGGTCGACACACCAGCACTGACCAGTGCTGCCATGGCACTGTGTGGGCTCATACTCTCCGTAGCTGTCACAGGTGGGCACATACTGGCCGACCGCGGGGCGTGGGCGGAAGAAGAAGTATCCCCCTGATGAAGCAGCCAGCGCGGACTCTCTGTGCTGCTCACAGGCCATCTTCTCACGCTCTGAAACGAGGAAAACAACTGAGCAACAGGTGCAGAGACTATGCACAAACACACACTGAAGGCAGGTTTAGGGATGTGGACAAGCCACATGTAGTTACTGGGACAGGCCTGTAATCTCAGCCTCTCTGTGGTTCACCTCATGCCAGTCATCTCCCCTACACAGTCCAGCCACAGTCATAAACACATACACATCCAATGTACTCTAAACTGTTACACAACTAAAACTATGGAGGAGTTACTCAATCAAGAAGGATAAGGGCACAAATAAACGAGTACCAATGTTATTAATGTAAAAATGTTATTAAAATATTAATAAAACTATAGTGTAAATGTAAACACAGATGTTATCATTGAAAAGTTTGGAATCACTTGTCACAATATTAAAGGAATGGTTCACTTTAGTTTAGCACTGAAGCTACAAGACTAACATTGCTAATAAACACTAGAAATCAATAGTCACCCAAATCTTTTATGTAAAAACATCCACAAAAACCTCTCTCAACCCACTCAAACTGCATCCAACTTCTCATTAAGGCTGTGCAGACGTCTCTGCATTCTGCTAAATGTGGTTTAAGACACAGTATGACTTCATAGTGTAGCTGAACACTGCGGGCAGCCACTTCAATCAAAAGGGGTTTCGCTGTATTCCGATCCTGATTATTTTTTATTCATTTTTATGGTTCACAGTAAGTCACACTGTGTCCTTAACCACACTGACAAGCCTGCACAACCTTAATGAAGATCTGGATGTGGTTTGAGAGCTACTGGGGACATATTTACAAAAAAGACTTGGGTGACTATTTACTTCTAGTGTTTGTTGGCACTGTTGGCCATGTAGCTCCAGCACTAATTTGGACACCAAATATGTCTTAACTGATAGACTTCATCTAGAGAAAGTGGAAAATTGTGTATATATGTTATTTTTTCAAACCATTCCTTTAATTTCTATTATTTAATATGCAATAATATCTTATAAAATGTAAATATAAATATTGTAAACTAGACATCAAAAGGTATTTTAAGATGTTCTGTTCAATATTTCATGCATTTCTGAGAACAAGAAGAAATAATTAAATAATAAATGACAATTATTTTTTATTATCTGTTTTTGGCCGTTATCTGACTCAAAATTTGATCACCACTTTTTAAATATGACTCATTCTAGATTTTGATTTATTATAAATTTGTGTATGTTATGCAGCTTTCTCAATATATATGGAATCATGTACAGCATCTTTTTATATTCTCATCACACAGATAAATGAATAATTATAGTAATTATTATTGTATCTGCATCCAGCCTGTTGAAAACATTGGTTCCAAACTTTTGAATGGTAGTGTACAGTGTTTGTGATGGTTTTCAGTCATCCAGGTAACTGAACTGTCTAATAGACATACGTCAAGGATGCCAAACTTTTGACCACTCATCTGAGGGGCTTTGTCAGCTGACTTACAACTACTACAGTATAAATGAAATAGTATACAAAGTATACAGTGCAGTACCTGTACAGCAGCGCTCAACACAAAAAGAGTAAACAACGCATGTGGAATGGTAAAAAAAAAAAACAATATAAGCCAACAGAACCTCAGAAGGACAACAGGACTATTTACCAAAAGTAAACAAGTCCTGATTTTTTTTCAAAGCACCGTAATAATGTGACACATATAAGACTACATTCGCAGCCAATCTAATAACACATGCAGCAAAGATATTCACTGTTACGTCTTGAGCAGGAATGCTGATTTATGGCTGAGACAATTGCTTTTGGTTGAGAATGTTATCTTTGTTTTTAGTCTAGAAGATTTAAATCAATACTAAGACCTAACGAAGCATAATGTATTGAAAGTTCAATATGTTTTGAATACTGTAGCACAGTAACCCATTTAGTTCTTTATGAAAGAATTTAACTGTGTTGAAAGATGCTTTGTTTTATGCCTTGTCTTACACCAATTATTTAGATAACTAAATAATTTAAAATTTTAAGTATTGGTGTTGCTAAAAACAAAATGTTAAAGGGGAATTCCACACATTTTTTAAAATCTCTACAAAATTTAAACACTTAAGATGCACACAAAGTCATTCAGAGTGGTTTAATGTGAAATGATTGGTTCTAGAGAAACTTCCAGTGTCATTGTTCACAGTGGTGGTGAAAGGAACCAGATGTCTGAAGAGTTTAACGCTTCTAAAAGCTCCATCACAGAAAGTTATTACATGAAATGGTTATGAATCCACTGCCTGATGTCAAACATTGTTTAATGATAGTTTTTAAATAAGATTTTGGCTTAAAACGTCCATTTATGGCAGAGAGGTACATGCAGGGTGTTGTAAGGCTAAATAGTCCCAAAAGAAAACTCATTTTTCAGATTTCCAACTTTTTAAGCATTATCAACATAACATATAAAAACTCAGACATGCGTAGGTTCACTGTTGGTTTTGGATAGTAAATAAAATGTCTGTATTTGTGTTATAGACACTGTGACCCCTGGTTCCTATCACCACCACTGTAAAGAAATCATAGTAAGTAAGTTTCTCTATGATGTACCATTTCATGCCAAACCACTGTGAATGACTGTTTAGAACCCACCATTGAATTATACAGGAATTTTGAAGAATTTGTGGAATTCCCCTTCAATTAGGCTGTAATGACTAATATTTTTCTATACAATGAACATTAGGTCATCAGATCATGACAAATATTTGTTTTTTCAGTGTTATTTTGGTGTTGACTATTGTGATGCCACACTTGGTATCAGTATTCTATTCAAAATTCTAGTATGACACTTCTCTGAGAACCAGCTCAGTAAACAGTGCTGGCATGGAGTAGAGCAGGGGTCATGATGTGTGCAAACAACTCGAGATGACATAAGATCGATATTCCTCCAGGAAAGAGGAGGCTCAGCTGCACAGTCCAGTTATTTCTGAAAAAATGCCAATTTTTAACTTTACTTAGACCTATGTGACCCTTCTCCACCCTTTCGCCCAGTTTCACTGCGACACTTGTGGGAAAGTCGCAGAGGAGCTTAAAAAAACTCCAAACCAAACCACTACAAATCATCACAGTCATAAAATCTCCGAAACCCGTTTTTTATAAGAGAACAAAAAAGGTGACTGTAGGAGAAAGAAAAAACCTTCTTAACTTTAATGAATGACCATGAAACCAGATACTAGTCCACTATTTCTGAAACCCTGCATTTCTATCATGAAATGTTCATACAATGTAAAGGACCAGCTGGTGTTTTTAAATAGTGTAGAAAAAAAACATTTAATTAATTAAAATGGACAGCAACAAACAAAAGATCATTAGAATCAATCAGAATATTTAGTAAGGTATGCAAACATTTTTAGAAATTTGAAAATTGAAATACTAGTTTGGTTTTAATGAAACTAAATGTGCTGAGAGGGTAAGGCTTGGTGGTATTGTGAGGCTGTCACCATTTCTGTCACAATTTTAATACATGATTCTAAAAAAAAATATATTAAAAAGTTACGTTGTAAACAAATTATGTTTTCAATGAACCAGACTAGTGATCATTTGAGGAGTGATGGTTATCAGGGTTATCAGGGTATTATAAGGCATTATAAAGCTGTGTTTAGCGGTCTGATGATTCTCCACAAAAGGGAACGATTAGCAGTCCAGTTGCTTTTTGTATGTCTTTGAAAAAGAAGAAATCCACACCAGCAGGATCTGACAAAAGCATATAATATTAAAATTCATATTGTAGCATTATCCTAGCGGTGGTCCTCAGGCTACTTATAAAGTCAAGATTTCACGATTAAACACTGTTACATAATGATCTATGTGACATGACAAGTTCTATGGCTAACTCAAAACAGTGCTAAAGAATTCTTAAAATGGCATTAACTTAAAAACTTGCAGACACCCTTATAATACATATTTTAACACTTATTTACAGTTGCACATAAAATTTTATTTTTTTTATTAAATTATTTTTTAAGTGAAAATAAGTTAATATACCCTCTAGATACCCTCTCCCATGTGTCAAACATAAGGCCTGCAGGTCATGTCTGGCCTGTGAAATTATTTTTATTTTCTATTAATATTAGCCTGTTTCAACATGAGCTGCACTACAATCCCCAGCATGCATTGCAACGTAATGTGCACTCCCACCCCCTTCCCCCAACAACAGTCTGAGACAGCAGCTCAGAAACAAAGGATGCCATGTGTGTTCTTCTAGTAGGGGTGGGGGAAAAATCGATTCTTAGATGCATCGCGATGCGGACGTGGACGATTCTGAATCAATTCACAAATGTCAAAAATCGAATTCTAAATTTAATTTGTAACGTAATGTTGACAGAACGCAAAAGGCGGAACTTGGAAGTGTGGAAGTGCAGCGCCTGGACGGTCTGTGGCAGCACATAACAAAAACACACACGGATGAGTGAGAAATCCGACCGGCTCCCTCTGCATTAAAGCCAGGTTAGATCAGGAGTCACACCACAAATGATAAGAAGAGCCATTTTGTCCTTTCAGCAAAAATCAAACCACCTTGGGAGCCACAACATTTTATATCCAGTATGTCTCAGTATGTGCTGATGTCGTAGTATAGACTAAAAAATATAAACGAAAACGCACTTATTTTGCTCTGCTTTAAGATTTAGCTATAGCTGCTTTCCTTCCATCTCTGCCAGAAAACTTTTCTTCAAAAGTAGATCAGCTTATTGTAAAATGTCTCTCAACGTTCGACTGTTTTACGAGGCTGAAGTCGCTTCTTATTTGCCAGCTTGTTGTTCGAATTTTACCATTCCACCTTAAATTCTGACTGAGGCACCGAATGTAAGTGCGGCACCGTTTAAAATTCGAAAGAGAAGCAACTTCATCTTCGCAACTTTTTAGTGTTTGACAGTCTCTCGTTGCAGATTTGATGTACCAGGTAAACAACTGCGCTGCTTACAAATGCGAATAAGTCCATTCGTCTCCAAATGTTCGTCTTAAATCCCTCTCTTTGCCTTTTCGTTAGCTACTAGCTAGGCAAGACTGCATTGCTATGTGACCTGCAGTCTGCACGCCAGCCTTCAGGGTTATAGGGTGTTGAAATAAGACAACAATTAGAACGATCAGTAGAGCTTCATTTTGCTGAAAATGAGGATTATTTTATTTTTATCAGTACATGGACGCACTCTGGCTTCCACTCGGGTCCCTTTTCCCTTCTATGATGGATAAGAGTCATACTATACGCAAGTTGTGTCACACTAAACTATTTTGAAAACGACAAACATGAGAAACCAGTTTCCACCAGTTTTCCGTCCAGTTGTACTTGCTGCCAACCAGAGGACCATCGAGCAAGTGAGGTCAAAACTTCTAGCCAACTCGGAGGCAAATTACAAATTCTATCGCAACTGTTATTGCCAAGGATTTGCCTCCGTACTCAGTCGTTCAGAAACAAGGCTTCCCCCCCCATAAACACTCTCTACAATGAGACCAAAACCGAAATTATGAAATAACTGAATAAAAAAAAAGCAGCAGCTTCTCGTGCTCCAAACAAGAGCGCTGAATGAGAGCCTTCTAGTTCACTTGCCAAATCACTTCCATTTGATTTATTAAAAAAGATATTGGAAGTAAATTCATTATGGATCATTACAAATACTTTGCTTTAGAAGTACCAAGTCCTCACACAGTGAGAAAAAAGAAATCCTGTATAGAAAAAAAAGATGCATCGATAATTGTTTTATAATCGCATGGCAGCCTCTGAATTGCAACTGAATCGAATCGTGAGGTGCCTAGAGATTCCCACCCCTAATTATAAGTGCCTATATTTTGCTATTGCAGTTTTGGCATATTTTTAATAAACAACGGCCAGTTCAGGTCACAGCAAAATGTTTATTAAAATGAAATAAAACAAAAGATTTGATGAGATTTTTTATATGGCCATTTTAGTGGTTTAGTTTGACACCCCTGCTCTAGAGACACCACACTTCTGCACATTTTAATGTACAATTATTGTTTATTTGCCAATTTTAACATAGTGGAGAAAAAATATAAAACATATAATGCGGCCCTTTTAATATGTCTGTATGTTGTACCACTGTATCAAACATTTCTCCAATCACATTTGTTTATTCTATAGTTTTTAAATATTAAATAGTTCTGATTTGTACAATCAGAACTATGTGCACTTTGAGATTTAATGAATTTGATACGAGACGTCTACAGGGAGGAGGAGGAGGGGGCAGATGTGTGCACATGCACACAAATCCAAAACTTGGACCCAAAAATGCTCCCATTCATGAACAGTGAATCACAGAGACACATACTGTACGCAAATCAGAAACAGAAAGAAGCCTGTCTGTCTTTCCTCCAGTCTCACACTCATATCTCAGACAGAGGACGCCAGTGTGTTCCTCTACATCCTACACACACGTACACAGACAGAAACACACACACACACAGTGCGAGCAGAGCGGGGGTCTCTGTGTGTGTACAGCTCTCTCACTGATTCACAGCTGCTTTACACAACCGGCAATGATTTACCACTGTTTACACGTCCTGTTATATCTGTTTATGATGTGTTTAGAACTGTAACTGCAGTGATTCAACTCTACTCCACCACCTTCGCTGAGTCTGTACGAGAAATCTGTCTCTCTCTGAGTAACACAGATGAAGACAACAACTTCACTGTAAACAAGTAACAATTTTCACACACTTCTTCCTGCTGTCTGTGCTCCTGTCTCTCTCTTTCACTCTATATCCCTCTTCTTCCTTTAAATGTCTACCTGTTTCTCTTTCTGCCGCTATACTCTTACTCCAAACACTGTCTACTTCACTATGTACTGGTTGGATTTTTGTAGGATAGTAACATTTCAAATGCAACAATAAAGTTTTCCACTAAACTTAGAACAATGAATTGCCCCACAATTGCCTTTATCAGCCCTACATTTTTGTTCCTAATTTGCAAAGGCAGCCATTTAGAACGTTTTAAACTGCAGCAGCCTATGAAGGCTCCTCACCTTCAACTTCATATGGCAGCCAGCGGTCACTTAGTGCAAGCAGTGAAGATCCCACACGTCTTTTTTCAGCAATTCTACATCACAGTACATCATCTGAGTTAACTAGCAGCGCAACAAAATAAATTCTAGGCCAAAATCACAACCCAATTTCAGGACACACTAAGGAGAAAAAACAAAATTTAAATGAAATAAAAACAAACATTACATAAAATAAACTTTCTAAAATGATTACGCTGTCACGTTTGTGATTTATTTTTTTATCATTTCAAAAAAAGACTACAGATAGTGTCGGGGTGCTAGCAGAGATTTTCCTTTCTGCTTCTGTCACTTTGCTGTATTTTGCATATCAAGAGAGATTTATTTTTAAGTAGAATCAAACCTGGAATGGAGTTTTTGAACCTCCTTTTGATGAACAACGATTACAAATCTCTTATCCAATGTCCCTAGTAGAAATTTATTTGTGCTGATCCGCTGCTGCTCTAACTGTTTGAACACCTCCGCAGAAAAGAGAACACAGTCGTCATCTTCTTAAATTTTCTGTTCCGCCTTAAATGGAGCAGCAGTTACATTCTGGTGCCCAGAATCCATTGATTGTAACTGCCTCACCATTTAAGGTAGAGGGGAGAATTCAATAAAAAGCTGGCAAACAAGAAGAAAATGAGGGAAAAGAATAAACCATGTTTTTAATCATTTTCTCATTTTCATGACCTTAACGATTTGTAAAGTAGGAGACTGAGGGCTAGTGCATGCTTCATGTGAAGCCAGCCAACTGCCACTAAAACAGCGTCAATGGACAGCTCAACATGCTTAGAGGAGAATGCTAACTGCTAATTCTAGTAGGTCAGCTAGCAGATGCTCGTGCTGGACAGCATCACACTGAGCCAAGGGGGGGCGGGAGTAATATCCTACCCACCCACAGAGAGAGCAAGGCCAATTATCCTCTCTTGGTCTCCCGGACACGGACTGACGCTTAGAGGGCTGTGTCACTCGGGAGCTTCAATTATTTCTTGTTTACTTTTGTCTTTCTATCTTCAAAGAGAGGAAGTTTGTGTTGTGATACTGAGACATAATAAAGAGCAGAGGATGTGCATTAGACGAGTAACGGTTTTATCCAGTTGGATGCATTGAATCATACTGTATGTGCTCATATCCTGTTTGTGCAGAGTGTAGCAAGACATAAAAAAAACAGTTGAAGAACTGAAATACAATCAGAACGCTTTACTACAATTAACTATCAAAGGTACTTTTTTATTATCATACTCACAATTTAGAAACTCATAGCAAGATCTGTTGCCTACTAGCAATTATGACATTGTGGTGCTGTTTATGTGCTCATAATTATAGTTTCATCAGGGCAGCCCTGACTTTTCAAGCCGGAGTCATGAAAAAGGTCACAGTGATTGCTTGTTTTGTAATGTACACTGATTGTATTTTAGTTATTCAGCAGCTACATATGAACTCCACAGACATTTTTTTTTAATGGCTTTCAAGTATATGAGCATATACAGTGTGATTGGGTGTTTCTAACTTCTTGCGGTAAAGAGGAAGCAATGTTTTCAGAGGACTGGTGGTCTGCTCTCACTGTGGGCTTGCTTGTTTAATGTTTACTGTACTTCATGCAATATAATGAGTACTTTATTTGCTCCAGTCTGCTGAATGTAGTATTTGATGCCTGTGCGTTAAAGACTCATACTGAACCATACTGCAAGTTAAACTGTATTGTGACACTCTTAATGAATACATATTATATCATACCTAAGACCTCCAAGTAGGAACTTTGCAGCGCCTGAAGGCAGCATTAAAGTGTACTTGAAGTACTTAAGACATACAATGTGTTGTGTAATTATCTGCTGACAGTTGTTCAATTGCACACACACTCTGGAATAGCATCACACAAGAGTCTAAGTCAGCATGGACAACGCCATGTGTGGGCTAGAGGGGTATAAAGTCCTCCAGCATTGGGCTGTGGAGCAGTGGAATTGTATTCTCTTGAGTGATGGAGCTCCATCCAGTACCTTTGGGATGTGTTGGAGTTATCCAGAACTGACCATCCAACATCAGTACCTGACTTAACTAATGCTCTTGTGGCTGAATGCAGTCAGATCCACACAGCAATGTTCCAACATTCAGTGTAAAGCCTTCCCAGAAGAGTAGAGGCTGTTACTGTAGCAAAGGAGGACACTCAAACACTCTGGTGAGCACCTACCTGATTCAGGTGTGCAAGTGAAGCCATCACCATGAAAACGTGGACGGCACTGGCAGGTAAAGGAGCCCTGTGTGTTGTAACAGACAGCATCTTTATGGCAACGGTCAGTCTGACATTCGTCAATATCTATGAAACACAAAGAGAAAGAGAAAAATAAAAAAAAACATCTAAAAACTGCATATTATCCCATTAATTACCTTATAATGAAAATACAAAACAAACAATGCACAGAGTGTACGTAAACAATCAGTATGTAAAAGTTTGGGCGCCCTCGGTCAAATTACATGCTGTTGACTGAAGTAAAAACAAGTTACAGAGAAGACGCTTCTGCAAAATAAAAAATAAATCTGGCGTGTGCAAAAGTCATGGCACATTTCCTATTTAATTTTTTTTCCAATATTTTAAATTCAGAAAAAACAAAAGTGTGTTCTCTGTAAAGGATGTGTTAACTTACTGTCACTGTAACTTGACTAAGCGTTTTTCAAACCTTTGCATATGACTGTACATTTCATTTGAAACACATGGTCACCGTTTCACTGGTTCACTGTCTGAAAAAGGCAGCTGCTCTTTACACTGAGTGAACATTTCGTGATTATAGGGCCAACAGAAGTGGAATAAGGTCTCATGACATTAACAAAGTTAACAATGTTCTTTTTCTTCTGCTACAGACCCCATTTTGGAGATACAAGGTTTTGTTATGACAGAGATGATATACAGTGCAGATAATGCAAGCCAGTCAGACATTCTCAGAGAAAGAATTTCACCACAAGTTGGGTGTTGTCTAAAAGTGGTTATCACACAAGCAGAAGTGAAGAAAGGGGATTTCGGGGGGCTCGGGAGGGGAGTAGAAGCTCAGCACATCTGTGGAGCGCCTGGGGTCTGAGCATTTCCTGTCCTGCAATCTGCACTTCCTCTCCCCTGGGGACGGAGCGTGGGGGTGCATACCATCTAGAGAGCCTCATGCTCCTGGACAGTGTGTTGCTGGGCTAATGTGAACAGAGTTCAGGGAGAGGCTAGCGTGTGGCCTTTCCTACAGCTAAATGAACAGTACAGTTTTAATGCTTCACTCTGACTGTGAACAAATGGTGTGAATAACATTAAAAGCTACATTTTTAATTACTTCAAACATAAAGCAGTAGTATGACAAAAAATCTAATTTCCCCAGTCTCCCCATACTTAAAATGTAGCCAATCAGCCAAGACAAAGCTTGCCTAAATTATAAACTTGCCATGGACTGCGTCGAGACATTAAATAATCTCAACGGACTTTGTTCACGTGGTGTCTGACACTTTATCTATAAAAATAGAAGTATGAAAATAGAAACGTTTTTTTGCCTATATTTTTTCCATTTTTATATTTAAAAAAAGCAATCAAATCCACAGACATTACATATTCTCAATGGACTACTTTATAGATAACAAAATGCAATCAAATCCACAAGACAATGAGTGCGTTTACATGCATTCAATAATCCGATCATAATCGTATTTCTGCAGTTACCCAATTATTCAAATAGTCATGTAAACAGCATAATCCGATCTAGAAATCCAACAAAGAAATCCAATAAAGAGAGCTGGATTTTATCTCAGTAATCAGATTTCTCAGCGCATGTAAACTCTTACTCAGATTTCTTTCCGACTTCTCAGTTTGCACATGCACGAGAACAGACAGCGGTACCGGAAATAAGCAAGCAGTGTTGCTGCGAGACGCAGCGAAACACTTTTGGAGCGACACTGAAACCAAACACGAAATACAGGATTTAAATATTCTTCATCTTCTAGATGACATATGTTCATATTTTCAGGTTAAGTCGCGTCATGTCAAGTTCCGGGTTTACGCACATTGTGTGAGTTTGACATTCTGTGAGTTTACTGGTTGACTGCAAAGCAGAAATCTGATTACTGCCTGAGTCATGTAGACCTGGAGTTTCCCCGTTATCTGATTACTCAAGTGCATGTAAACGTGTTGATCGGATTACTGACAAAATCTGATTTTCTGCAGTTATTGGATTATTAAGTGCATGTAAACGCTCGTATTATCTCAATGGATGTTGCTGCCGTGGTGTCTGACACTTTTTGCCATACTGTTATCTATAAAAAGAATCCCCAAAGGTATGTGCAACACCTAAAAACGGAAGGAGCAGCTTAAACTCTGAATTTTGCTGATATTTGTTCAGTTATTATCAATAACATTATATCACACACTGCCAGAAACCACATAAGCACCTTGAGTGTTTGATGTCTGTGTTACATGTTAGATCCATTAGCCTCATGGCTCCAGTACAAAACCAGAAGAAGTAAACTTTGGAAACTAAACATGTCTTGGCTAACCAATTACATTAAGAAAAGAGGGAAAATCTGCAGTATTTTTTTTTGCAGTAATGTGCAGCAGAGAAATTGATTTTAAAAGTGTCCCACATCTTCTTCAGTTAGTTATTGAATTCCCCCCCTAGAAAGGACACACTACCCTGGCAGCTCCTGCCATCTCCGGAGAAGCCTGGCAGACAGGAGCAGACGTAAGAGGATCCTCCAGTATAGCTGCACTGTGCACGCTCCCGAATGTCACAGTCATGAGTCCCCCTCTCGCAGTGATTGATGGGATGGTCCACTTCTACAGAGGAAACAAAAACATCATGAAAGTTTTAAATGGAAACAAAAGGCTTAAAATGTTGAAACAGAAATGACTCCAATCAGGATTTCTTTCTTTGCAGAATGCCGTGCAGAGTAAATTAACTACCAGCGTAACTGAGCACTGGCAGTGGAATCAATCATGTTTTCATTTACAAATGTGTGGGACTAATTTTGTGAGAGAAAAAAGGTCAATCTCGTGTTTAATCATTAAGAAATTACACTCATACATGGCTTTATTTAGCCTGACGTCTTTTTCCTGAAGTCTTTTTCTCTTTCTTTTGTTATAAAGTGTAAGAACAGCGAGAGCAACGTTGTTGCTAACAGGCTAGCGTGCTAATCAGCTCTTCACCTCGTCTACGTCTTTAAAAGTAAAGAAATTACAAATTAATATCAAGCTGTCAACAATTAATTAATCGTATTTCAGAAGCTACAAAAAATGCACATAAAAATATTGTAGCACTTCCATTATTTGACCAAATTCAGATATATTTTTCTTTGGCTTTTCTACAAAACAGATGGATTCAGCTCAGTATCAGAGTCTGACTCCCCGCTTTTTACACTCCAATCAAATCCTGAAGAATAAAATAATGTTGTGTCCACATTTATTTCCCGCCTGCGTAGCCTGTTTTACTTGGACATACATATTGTGAAGGAAGAAAAACGATCTCTGATTTCCGTCAATTCATGTTGATGGTAATGTCTTTTACAAGCTTTGAATGTTTAATCTAAAACGGGCAAAAAACGCTCGTGCGCATTACTGTTAGCTTAGTGCTAACATTCTATTAGAAATCCCATAATGGGCTCTAAAAGAGATGAGTTTTGACAAGTTGGCCCAAACTAATATTCAGTGTCTGCACTGTGAAAGTCTCCACACATTTAGTTTCTTTCATCTTTCAGTTTGCTTTCATTCTGTACCACACTGGTGTATGTGAAAAGAAAAAAAAATATGCAAGGAAAAAAGTCAGAAAAAAGTTATCATCGTGTGAAACTAAAACAAACAGAAATAATCAGGATATAAACCGAATTTAAATGTATTTGAATTGCATAATTACCTTTAAACAACACACCAAACGCTAGTGGTCTTAGTGGTACGCGTTCATGTATATTTGACAGCACACACAAAGTGCGACACTTACGGACACAGGTATGTCCATCACTGGCAAACTGGAAGCCCTCCATGCACTCGCAGCGGAAGGTTCCGGGCTGATTGTTGCAGACGGCGTGAGCTCCGCAGACCTGAGGCGTCTCTCTACATTCATCAACATCTATGAGAAATTTAAGTGAAAATTACATTAGAGTCAGCATTTCCTTTAGTGCACATGTGGCACAGTCAAACATTCCCACAGTAAAACTCCACACTGACCCTAAAATCTTGGGATACTACAAACACATTAAATGTCTTAATTTGTATTTGTTCCTCATCAGTGATACAGCAAACAAGTTAGTCTCCAAATGAAACAGTTTTGCTATTCTTCAAAAAGAACCAACCGCAAACATTCTGCCACAGTCTTAGTCAAGACAAATACACACAAAGATCTTGATGAAACAGGATAAAACACGCTGGGAGTAAAATCAACATCTTGAATGTATTTCTTCAAAAAATATCTTCCTATGAATTCCAGTGCGGATTATACATAGTCAGTGAAGGGTGGGCCATTTACTTCTATTGTCTAAAGTAGATACTTTGGGAAAAAAGACTATATGACCAGCCAAATACTATAAAAGATTAAATGATTTTTATTCAACATTTCACATACCACACTGCACTGAAACCAATTAACCAGGACTGTAATGAAACCAGTGAGCTGATTGGCTCTTTTTCGTGAAGGGCGGGACTTTCTCCACAAACAGGCGCCATGTTGAGCGTTACGAGCATTCTCATTTATATTTTAACCAGTGACAGGTCACCTCATTTAGAATATCTCTGATTGAGTTTCAAATGTTTTATAGATCTGTACTTTCTTGCAAAGACTAAATTCAATTCAAAAGGTCATTTCCACAAAAGACAAATCAAAAATTCCTGGGCTGTCTGTAGTAAAGTTTAAAGAAATAGTATGTTAAATTCTGTCAAAATTATGTATTTGAAATAGCCGTGATTAATGAAGAATAAATAAAATTAAGGAATTTAATCAGAAAAATCTGTTTGTATGTCATTTTCTCTATGCAGCCCTGTCAAATTCTATTCTATTCTATTTTATTGTACAATTTGTTATATATATAACCTTTATGTGTGGGTTTGTATAATGATCATAATGATGATTTCAGAAATACTTTCATCCAATATTCTCCCAAGGTTTTTTGAAATGTAAAAACATGTTATAGTGCTCAATTTCTATATGGAACCTGACGGAACCCAGAACTTTCACCCAGAATGTAAAGTTATTGCTACTAATTTTTAAAAAATCCTAAAATTTGCAACGGAAATTCTTTTGACCCTCCACTGAAAAAACTGAATGCACTGCATTTACCTGATTTGAATGTGAAACTAATTTTCATATGAATTAAACACATCAACAGCTCAAATGTGTTGATGTGGAAATGATGTATGATTTGAATGATTTGAATCAATTAAATTAAACGCATTCTTTCAGCGAAATGAGTGTAAACCTCAGGTTAAAGTTCTCACCATAGCATGTTCGTCCGTCTCCCGTGAATCCTGCAGCACACTCACAGGTGAACTGGTTTCCCTGGCCTGGGCGGCAGACAGCATTGGTGTCGCAACCGTGTCTCCCAGTGTAACATGGGTTCTGCTGCGGGGTTCCATCTGAAATAACATCCACAATCTTTTTAAGCCTATTGTGCACACTAGATGCAAGTATTATATAACCACTGTGTCACATTAGAAAGCAGAGGTAACGTAGTTGATTACTCAGCATTCAGTTCTACATGTCTGTAGCCCCCAATCCACATGGATCTCAATGACAATATGCATAGGCATAGTTCCACTGTGGAGAGGGTTACGCTACACTCATTTCCATGGTTACATGGCATCCATTTCCAAGGTTAGGCTACAGGTGATTAGTGTAGTTATGTGGTTGATTTCTATGGCTACATACACCCATTTCCATGGTTATGCTACTCTCATTTATATTATCATACTAGAAGTAACGAGTTATGAGAAGACGGGCATCATTACTAGCTTAATGTGATTATGGTTACAATAAAGAAGTAAAGAAGTATGTTTCAAATCTTCTGACTACTGAGCAGAAAAAGAGGGAAGGAAATGCAAGTCAAGTGATTCTACTTTCTATTGTTCACAATGTTTTGATACCAATGTCTGAACTACACCTTTTTTGATACGTTCTTTTACACATTACAAATGGGAAGTTGGTGTGGCTTAAACTAGAACTGATTAGGAGATTCTGGATGTCGGTATTTTTACAGACTGCAATGGTCTGCAGACTAATCAAGAAGTGGTGACATCAATAACGTACACAAAATTCAGATAGCCAATCAGCAGTCTAGACTCTGAAACAAACACACATACTAGCTCACTGATGCTGAGGAGACCAGCTACTTAGGCGTAGAAATGTATTATTGTCTGATATGGAATTTTTCCAATACTAGCCAGCACTAACTTCAGTTAAGATAAGAGTTTCTGAGCTATGCATTACCAGATAAATTGTGAAACGGACTTGGTCAGCTAACCTTAGCTGCCAGTCTCCTTATCTCCAGCTTCATAGTGTCCCTCCTCTTTCTGAAACCAAAACCAGACTCTTCATATATTAGAAATTCTTAGTTTCCAACCTCAAACTAGCCAGACCTGCTGAGTAAACAACATCACGCTAGCGGCCCTCCTGGTGCTGGGAGCAGACATGTCGCCTGGCTGAGAGACAGCTGCTTATTACAGCATGTGTTTGAAGTCCAGGCCCCCCGACAGGAAGCCTTCCACAGATGTTAGTTCTCTCTGGCTGTAAACTCCAGCTGAGTCAAGCCTGCTTACATAACCTGGCCCCCACACTTGGAGAGTTACCCCTACGGCCCCCCGATCGCCAACCCCCACCTTAGCTCGGGCCTACACCTATATGCACATGGTTACACGCACTCTTACTCTAATGCAGAGGTACGCACGCGTTTGTGGTAGTTTGAAAGTCCAGAAAACAGAGCATTAAGTGTTAAAAATAGGGTCAGGCTGATAGATGATGCCATTGTCCATCATCAAAGGCTGACAGAAATCGCAATGTTGAGCCAGCGTCAGAATGCCACACCCCCGCCAACCCCCAAAGATTAAACGCAAAAAAATAAACGATGCATATTCTGTATATGAACACTGCTGTTGTTAATTTACAGAAATAGAACGTAAATTGACAAAAACAATTTATCAGCTGTACTTCAAAGACATTTGTGTTTCTTAATGGTTGTTACTCTTATTGCTATGGTAAAATATTGCCATAATAATTGCTGAATTACAGCAGAAGGCAGTAATTGTAAGGAATTACATGACTGTAATTTTACAGATTTTTACCATCACTGAGAAAACACACTTTTACTGTTAATAGGTTTTGTCTTGGCATCTACAGCCTGACTTTTTTTTTGGTACAGAGCACATTTCAATCTCACCTACTTTTGTGTGACCCCAATGGTCTTGTGAACTTGTTTAACAAGGACACCAATAAACGGAAAACGAGGGCGAGTCACACACAAAAATACTGCTCCTAATTCATAGCATAGCATTAACGATGACCACACAAGTCACGGCTGGAACAGCAGCACTTTTCCCAGGCAGCTGCAGTGCTGCCTAAGGCAAAACACAGCTAAAGCTTATGAATGAAATCGGGTGTATGAGGATCAGCTTATGTTGTGATGAAAGTAACTGTGCTCTGTTTCAAAACTCAATGTGAAAATTGTATATTTACTTTGAAACTGTTTCTCTGTCTCACTTTTGTCACAGTTGCTGCTGTTATTTTGTAGGGCAGCATGTTTCTCTAGACTTCTAGAAGAAGGCAAAGGGCCCACTTACTGACGGAGCCGATCTTGTTGCTCATTGCGTAGCGAATGAGCTGGTTGGCAGCGTCGTACATGACGAAGACCTGATCCACGCTGAGCTGCTGGCTGGGTGGGATTGAGTGCGAGGCCTCAGCATGGGGGCAGCTCTGAAAACTAACGCTCTGCCTCCACAGGTACACCAGAGTCTGCGTAGAACCGTCGGGGAGGGTCACTGTGTAATCCCGTGTGGAGGAGGAGGTGATCACTGAGGACAGGGAAAAGATAGAGAGAGAAAGGGCAAGAGGGAGAGAACAGAACACAGATGTTGTAGTTCTCGCTCCATCATTTAGTACAGGCGACTTGCTTTTCAGTTTTTGGAAGAAATTACAGGCACTGAAATGAACTGGGTTAATGTTGAAATGTTGGTTGATGACAAACCAAAAGCATTCCATGTTTTGTAACAGAGGTCCGAATCTTAAATCCAGTTTCCAGCAGTCAGAGACCACCCTTCATTTATTTGATGTCCATAAAGTACTGGTTATTCATTGCTAAGGATGTATTTCTGACTAAATTAGATATAAGACAATGCACCTGCATAAGGAAGGAGAAAGTCAAAGGTAGATACGTCAAAAACAAACCGTTTCCAAAACTACAGAAGACAACTCAACACTATGGATCTGAAAGCATGTGTAGCTATCAAGAAGCTCTTACTGAGAAATAAATAGACAAAAACAGTAAAATTTGCTAATTAAAGAGAGAAGCTGCTGGTATTCTCAGAACAATGAACTGATCAGACTTCAACATCACTGAATGTGTTTGGGATAATGGATCATGAAAAGCAGAAAATGCTACCAAATTCTAAGACTGATTTTTGGATGCTGTTGTTAATCTGTTCCAGTCAATGTGCGAAGAAAGTACAGAACAAGAAAAAACAGTAAACAAAACAAGACAAAAAACTCCACAATGTGTGAAAAATGTCTTTAAAAAACTGAAAGTGAGTCTCCTGAAAAGAATGAAAGCTGCAATCAAGGTAAAACGTGGACACACTAAACCTCATGTGCCAAACCCACACAATCCTATCTGGCCCGCAAAAGCTTTTTAATTTTCTATTAATATTAGCTTGTTTCACAATGTGCTGCACTACAGTCCCCAGCATGCACTGCAATGTAATGTGCTCTGACTCTCCTACCCTAACAGCAATCTATGGGACAGCGGTTACACCTCAATTCAACACAATTCTACACCAGTCATATCATCAAGCACACTAGCTTAATTTCAGCTGCAGTTCAACCAACATAAACACTTAACGTCAGCTACTTTTGCTTCATTGTACCGTTAAAAAAAGAAATAAGTTCTTAAGAAGATGGAATTTTGAACTAACGGTGCTGTGATGGGCAAAGAAAGAGGAAACTGAAGGAGGAGTAACAGTCTGATGAGTCAATTAATTAAACAGATCAATTAAATATAGAAATAATTAAAAGCAGACTCACAGTTGCTGGAGTACTGATAGATCTCATAGTAGGGGTCAATCTGGACCGTGGCCCCCTCTGGCACCTCCGGAATCCTCCCCTCCAAATGAGTGCTGACCACCAGATGATCGTGCTCATCAATCCCTTTGAATTCCTGACTGATGGTCAGCTTCTCGCCACCTGGCTGGAAGGTCACTTCAGTCTGCCGTGTGAAAACGCCTCCTGTGGACAGAGGAGCAGAGAGGGGTGAGTGAAGCCAGTGGCACAGGGATATCAGAGCGCAAGGCATGACCTCCAGCATGTGCTTTCACTTCAAACGAGGCCGCTTCTGGGGGACGAGAAGTCAGCTGGAAGCAATGTGCTGGAATAACAGTTGAATGGAAAGCTTTGTGCACAGAGCAGAGAAGGATGAAATGAACTCACGGACATCATCCTCCAACCTCCATACAGACTGAGAAATGAAAAGAATTTGAAGCAGAACCATTCAGTCTTTTTGTTTGCACCATTTCTGATGGAAATGTTTAACTACAGTGATAGAACTTCTTCACCGGGGGAAATTATTGCTCTTAAAGGGCCCATTTCATAGAAAACTGAATTTTGCTCACTTTTTTTGAAATAATAGAGTAACGATGTAGTATGTAAAGACTGCTGAAGTTTTAAAGTGTACTATTCACCCCATAGTCCATAATACATATGTGGAACTTAAGCTTCGAAAACAGCCCGTTTTCTATTATTATTTCTGTGATGTCACAAAAACACATTTACATTTTTATTTCTTACCAGCAACGCTGAAGCCATTCTCATATCCTGGCTGCTCCAGGGCAAAGGCCCAGCCGATGACTCCCCCAATGGAGGAGAGTGGCTGCAGTGAGGGTCCGACGTTGGCTGGGATGGTGCTGATAGCTACATAAGCTCGGCCATCATTGGCAACCACATATGAGTGCAAATCATTGTTGGAGAACTCCACTGGAGTGGGGGAACTCCCGACGTAGATCCTGCCATTTACTTTTCCATTTATCCTCTGGGGTTTTCCTGTTGATTTGGAACAAAATTTGCATTCAAAACCACCAAGGAAAGATTGAATGAAAATAAAATAAAGAAAAATCAATTAAACTTAACACTCTTGGTAAATCAGCAGTGATTTATAGGCTATAAGCATGATGATAACGCACATCTGAAATTCTGCCACTGCTGTTTGCAGTTAGAAACGAGCCTGGCAGACAAATTTATATGCATTTTTGACACACAATGTTTTTATATGTTTTAATGAAGTCTTTTAAAGCATTCCTAGTTCATCTAGGAAGTACTTTTATTGTTTGGCCCTTTTAAAACTTAGCACTCTCAATTATTTGTTAAAATAATCAGTAGATTAGCCGATTACTGGAAACAAGTTTGCTGAATATAAATTCAACATTAAAGATGAGCTTACCCTCAGCAACGCAGTCCTTCCCATTGCCGTAATATCCAGGCTTACAATGGCAGCAGTAACCACTGGTGTAATCTCTGCATTCCGCAAAACTAGAGCACTTATGTCTGTTGGTGGAGCATGTCTCATAATAGGAAAACACTGTAAAAATCCAAAAGGCCACAAATCAAAAAACACCGGCGCGTGGAAAGACAAGAGAATGACGTCATACAGTCTGTCACACAGGACTATGTTGATTAAGCTTTAGAACAGAGAGTTTATTATCGCAAAGGACATCAGGGTTGTAATATGGCTGCAGGCATGAGCCAAAGCCGAGCACAGCAGATCACCAGAGCAGTGATTTTATTTGTGATAATACATAACCTCAAGTATTTTATTGTTTATATTATTTGTTATACAACAGTTCTGCAAAATAAAAGAAAGAAGTAAAGCAAAGAAGCACTAAACTTCGTTTCATATGTGCTTTAATTTAGGCTTTAATTCTGCCAAAGAAGTAGCACCTTTTTGCTTTATGGATAGAGCCATAAAGCTATCACAATATCAGGTTCAGCTCAGCTTTCGGCTCATTTCTCTGGCTCAGCTTTCCGGCTAATTCCGGTTTGTTTAACTTTTTCATCAAAGCTGCTGAATGAAAAGCTTGTTTAGGATCAACAACAGGTTTGAAATGTAAGTGCTATGGTCACTATCTTCTTCATAATTAGACCAAAATGAGCTGCAGGTCAAATGTTATCTTGTTCACACAGCAGGTAAAAGTGGCCCAAATCCGATCTTTTTCTTCATATGTGACACAAATGTGTTATCTGTGTGTCAGTGTGAACATGACTTTGACATTTTCAGTTCCAATTTGAAATGCTTTCATATGTGGTACTGAAATCCGATATGAATCCGATATGTGGCACTGCGACTCAGTCTGAACAGCCAGATAGTAATTCATGCAACTTTAACGTCAATCGTTATAATTTCACACTGCTCATGAAAAGAGAGGAGACTGTGAAAAAAAAAATGAACGTGGCCGTAGGTGAACGAGGCTGCTGCGCCAAAGAACAGTTAAAAGTCTGAAAGCAAAGTTTCAGCACAGGCAGAACACCTCTCAACCAATCAGATTGTACCATCGGAAGTAAGTGCTGTACAATGTACATTACATCACACTTAGTTCCAACCTAATGTGATGGCTAATGTGTGGCTGACAGATGCTCTACGACCACATTTCTAAAATTTCACACTATTCCACCTTATTCACCTGTAACCCTGTAGCATGGGACACCACTTAATGGAACTATTTTTCTTCCCAGAACATAAATAAATCTTCTAAAAATTAAAAATTAATTATTGTTTTAACATTGTCTCTAATAATAAACACCAAGATTCTGTGGTATAATCGCAATAATACACTTGAGGTCAAGCTATACCTTGAGATACTGGCACTTCCTCTCTTATCATGTAAATATGTGCAGTATTACTATGAAAGCCATCAGCCTGTTTTTTAAACACTATTAAAGTCTCTCTCTCTCTCTCTCTCTCTCTCTCACCATTAACATTTAGGTCTTCCTCCTCTTCGTCCACAATCACCACCTGGGGGTTGACTGGCTGGACCACGATAGGCTGTTGTGGTCTGGGGGGCAGAGGGTAGCTAACCTGGGGATAACTTGGCTGAGCTGCGTATGGCGGCACCGTCTCCACATGTGACGGTATTTCTGACCCTGAGGTTGTTTCTGGCTCTGGCAAGGCTGCTGCTGATGTGAATGTTTCTAGTGAGGGTGTTTCCTCAGAGAACGTTTCTGCTTCATAAGGTGGGTAATCTGGGGTCTCGTCTTGTTCAGTGTATGGTTCAGAGTATGTGGGCTCTGGGATCTCAGTGACGCTCTGGACTGGCGCACCCTCCTCTGGGGCTACGGTGGTGACCTGGCCAGGAGTTACGGAGTTGAAGGTGGAGGAGCCGATCTCATACACCCACACACCACGCCTGCCTGAATTCGTTAGTCTGAGGGAAATGAAAAAAATGGCCCTCCTTAAAAGCTGTAGAATAGTGAGACACCCGAAACAGAATGTGCAGAGATGAAGAGCAGAAAAAACACATTAGCCTTTAATCAACAAGCACAGACTGATGGACAATCTACTCTGCATCTGACTCATGAAACTGTTCTACGCCATTGAAACATGCGTCACTGACAATTCCTTTTCAATTGACTGGAAGCAATTGTCTTTTATGGAAAAATCCACCCAGTCGTGGAATACTATTTCATCTGCAAGCAAACAAAGCAAAGAGGTCTGCTAGGACCATTTTGGGTTTATTTTCATTCTGTTATGTTTGCAACAGCTTCTGTGCTGCTTTGTGAACGGTCACCCTAACTAACCCTAACTCTAGAAATAGAAATAAAAAGTTAATCTAAGTTTGCAAACTTCCATTCAAATTTACAAAATATATACTGATATTATTTAAAACTCAATTGCCCATCAATTTAGTACAAGAATTCCCATGTGTACAGTTATTATTATTATTATTATTATTATTATTATAATTATTATCATTATTGTTATCATCAGTGTTTTTATTTCTATTACTGATACTATTGATTATGCTGATAATTTTAATGATTTAACTACAAATCAAGCTTTTTTCAGGCTCAAATTTACAAACATGACAAAAACATGACCAATTGTGAGTTTAACTGCAGATACAATAAAAATGAAATGATGAAAAACAATGTCAGTGAAATCTGCATGTGTTCATTTTATAATCAGACTTGATAGTTTGCAACTTTGGTGATTAATGGCTGCAGCGTTCACACTTACAGCACGAGGTCTCGGACCAAATCCTTGTTGTCAGTGGTAACACGATAATAAGGGCCCTGAGTACTGCTCCAGGAGAACCAGCCCTTAAGCAAACCTTTACTGAAGCCAACCTCAACAGGCTTGATTGCACCCTCTATAAGAGTGGAGTAGTACTGCAGGTCATCTTTTGGGTAGAGCAGGATGGCATAGGTGGACAGCTCTGTGGACGTCAGGACAAGTTGGAAAGTGCTTCTCTGTAAGAGGTCATAATTAATTAGCTTATTTTTAAGAATACAAAGGCAGGCATGTAAATGTTTGTAAGCAAAAATAGGTGAATAAACCATGAAGATTCAGTGAGTTCTCTGAGGTCAGGGGTTGGCCTCAGTTCAGCTCAGTTTGGTTCAAGCCCAACTGATGCAACTCTGCAGGTAATAACTAGGTTTATTAAGTATGTTAAAGCAGGTAAATCAAGAAACTGTGCTGGGCTTCCAGGATCAGTACTGGACACCACTGTAAGTTCCTCACTGGTTCTTGGTTTGGATGTGTGGTTGTAGGAAAAATCTTTAACTTGTGTAGAACCTTTACATTATGTGGAGCTTCTTTAAACTGTACACAACTCATTTAGAAATATAGTTCTACAAAGAACCTCCTATTGAAAGCCAGTCCTCAGGGCTCCCAACATATAGGGGTAAAGCAAAAATATGGGGGGCCTTGAAGACTGGATTGAGAACCACTGCTTTAAGGAACCAAAAGTGGTTCTTCTATAGCCTCACATCATAGAACCCTTTACTTTTTAAAATTGATAAAACCTTTCATGTCTTTGAAGTGCTTGATCATCATCCTTAATTCCATGTGGAAGGACTTGCCTTTTCGTTCAAATCATCTCCTCTTTCTGGAGCTCCATGAGCCATTACGTTCTCCCAGGTCACAATAAGGGCATGGGTGGGCTCGACCTCGTCCTCGTATGGGAAAGCTTGGGTGATCTGCTCTGCAATCTTCTGCAACACGTCTGGACTGCTGTCCTGCCTGAAATAGACTTTCCCGATTCCATCGCTGGTGTCCAAATCCCCAAGGAAAGCAGCAATGATGCCAAATTCAGCAGGCATTTTCCCCAAATACTCGGACTCAGCCGGAGGTTCAGCCACAGACACAAAGCCATTGGTGTTGACCTGCAGACATAACATCACACGTAGGCCGGAATGAGTCAAGGCTACATTGCGACAATGAGACAGAGCTATCAGAGATAAGACACAACACAGGCACAATCATTTGCTTTATACGATATAATGAAGGTCATTTAATGCTGACTTGGACATGCCTGCCGTACAGCAAGGCAAGAGATCACTTTCTTTTTCGCATTTATTGTTCAGCAGGATTGAACTATATATCGATGGTTATTCATGACAATGACCTCTCCAGTAATCTTTAATATGAGTATCCTGACCAATCAGAGTAGCAGATTAGTGTCTATGGGTTCTTTGAGGAATAAAGATGATTTAACAATCATAATGTCACTGTTGGAACAAAACCTTGTACCTTGTTTTTCATTTTTTTTACATATGTTTAAAACGCTAGTCAAACTTTCGAACTTTCATAACAAACAGACCAACAGGCCCAAAGTTTTATTACACACTTCTAAGCTAAAAAAAAAAGCTCAGCCAGTTGGCATTGAAGTCTCTGTTATTAAATAATAAAGCTTAGTATGTAATAAGCCTGAGTATGTAATAAGCCGCCCTGCGATGGACTGGCGACCTGTCCAGGGTGTATCCTGCCTTCCGCCTAATGACAGCTGGGATAGGCTCCAGCACTCCACCGCGACCCAGAAGGATAAGTGGTTTAGACGATGTATGTATGTATGTATGTATGTAATAAGCGTGAGTTTTTAAGGGTTAAACCATTTATCTCTGCAGTGAGTTTGTTTCTGCTAGTAAAAACATCATATTTCATTAGAATAAATACAAACAAATAAAAGTAACAGGACTTTCTTGTCTTCAAAAAAGTAGTTCATATGTTGTGAGTTAGCATAAAGACCACAGGTTTGGTTGGAGATTTCTCCACCACATAGACTTGTTAAATTCCATCACAAGTACTCGTGACTTAAGTTAATAAAAATATTGATTAGGTGAAGCAGGTTTTGGATGCTATCTACAAATACTACTGAACTGCCACAAGGAGAGGTATGGAATGTTTAAACACATCAACATACATAAAATCACTGCTTATTCTATTAATGTTATTTGTGTTGATTGTAATATTATTGTTGTTCTGAATGTAATTTTTGCCCAATTTAACTGCTTTTTACGCTCATTTTCACATAGTACTGTAAATGCAATATGGTATTTTGTTTATTGTCATAGATCAAAACCTTAAATTTACCTTAACATTATATATATAAACTCTATATTTGCATTGTATACACTGCAACCCCTGGTCTTAATCATCACTGTAAAGACATTATTTTACTTCAATGCACCATTTCTGAATGACTGAGTCTGAACTACTTTGTTTTCATCTCAACAATCTATGAAAGTCCCAGCACAACAACATTTTCATTGCTAGAGTGATAACAGCTCCATTTATGTGTTAATAAGAATGTGGAACATACAAAGCAAAATACATGTTTATGTTTACTCCTTTTTATTTTTCAAACATCAAAATGTTCACTGAAAACCTAAAACATACTATTTTTAGTCTTACTATGCACAGAACAGACTTAAAAATAAAATATATACAAAAGAACTGTAGACAGAAGATAAAAATATAGATATAGAACACATTGACAGTGACAGTTGTAAATAATTATACACTATATGTTATTCTAATAAAACATGGTGTTATTACAGGCAAAAACACCTACTATTATTAACCCCTTAAAAACCCAGGCTCATTACATGCTAAGGCTTACTATTCAGCAACTTTTCAGTAAATCTTTTTCTATATAAAACATCACAATGCTGTTCAGTTCTACTCTCAAGTTTAGCTGCTGCTAGGATTAGTAACCCTAGCTTTAAAACATCTGGATTCCCAGGAACATCCACTCTCACAATGAGAAACAGATGGTTTTCCAATCTGTCGGTCAGCACGCAAAAATGTCCATTGCACAAGTCCATCTGCTGACCGTGCATTGGCCAGCTTACCTGTGTTCTCCCTACCACACAGGCTGCAACTGCTGAACTTTCACTGCGCCCAGCAAGTCCTATGATGTTCTTTTATTTGAAGGAGTTCCAGCATAAAGGTATTTTGCGCTGCATATTATTGTAGAACATGATGCCAAAATGTGTGCTGGGCGTAAGCCAGCCCGAATCATGTACACAACATAAAATGATCTAATTGGTTACAGATGATGTGAATTTGTTCTGAAATTAGCAGAACGTCCAAGAGACGCAGTTAGACTGAATGCAAGGCTGGTTTTACACAGCAAAACTCGCATGTGAGTGAATGAGCTGCATGGAACATATACAGGAATTAGAAAACAATCAAAGTTGCACAAAATTACAACTCCAGTGATATTTCAGCGGTTAGCCAAATTTTTTTAAACACCCTAGATCGTTCTCGTTATATAATGTAATCCATGAGGTGTTACTGACATCAGCAGCATTGTTACCTTTGAATAATTATTTACAACAGTCACAAATATACAACACAAATATATCTATTTTATCTTTTATTTATGGTTCTTTTCTATATATTTGACTTTTAAGCCTTTTCTGTGCATAGTAAGCCTTAAAAAATCATGTTTAACTAGTTTTTACTTGATCCTTTAAGCATTGCAAGTTCTTACAGAGCCACATCTCAACCTCTCCTTCTCATATCATTTTCACCCTTTGGATCCGCTTTATTTTCTGTTATACTGATTTATTGAAATGAATTGTTTGAAACAGTGTTGTTTGTCATGGTCACTTTATGCACTACTGCATAAAGTGTTGTACTTTTTATACCCCTTAAAGTGTTAAACTTGTTATACAGAGTTGAGGTGGTTGCAAGACTGACATCCATGATGCAACTTTCATGCAACTAGTTGCAAGTTTCTGCGCAACCTGACAATTACACAAAGCAATTAAAAACCTAGTTGCATACACATGCATGCATTTAATTACTCCACTAATCAGCCTAAGGAGCAACTCGTATTTTTATGGCATATTGTTCTTGCTACATTAAGTCATCTGCAACGTGTTACTTACATTTACTTATTTAATATGTAATATAACTTTTCCAGCTGTATTTGGCATTCTGTTTTATATCTGTAATTCTGTACTACATATAATATATATATATATATATATAAATAAATCTATTCTGTGTACATCAAGCTTTGAAATTAATGTGTAAGTAGTTGTTACGGTTGTAATTAATGTCTCACTCATGTTTTCTTATCATTTAGATCCCATGGGGGTCTGCACTCGGTCAAGTCAGGGGGCATCAGGAGAAGACACAATGATTTATCTAATTATGTCTAGGGAAAGACTTCCTCTCGAGTGACTTCCGATTGAGTGAATGTTGGCATGTCTGACTGCCGCTACTCTTCGGATGGTTTGGCTGTTGTTAATTGTTATTATGCTGTTGCGGCCGGCTAATAATTCCCCCTTCCGTCATCAGAACTCTGCTGTAAGTTTTTGATGTTTTTAACAAAAACATTGATAGTACCTACTTAAAACTCCAACAGTCTTTTAGCTCAGAAAAATGTTGTTGCTAGGTACATTAACATATCCAGACCTACTACCTGTCTCCTGGGTCCCATGTCCACCCTACTGTTTAAGCATGTCTTCCCTCTCACTGCCCTCTTAAAACTGAGGTCATCAATGCCTCTCTTAGGTCTGGTTTGATTTCATCCAACTTAAAAGTGACTTCAATCCCCTCAACTCTTAAAAAGCCAGGGCTTAACCCTGATGAATTTATGAACTAACAACCCATTTCAAACCTTCCCTTTCACTGCAAGTTGCTTGAGTGTGTGAATCATCTAACTTTTAACAAGCTATTTCAGCAGGTTCAGTCTGGGTTCAGAGCTAACCACAGCACTCAAACTGCGCTTGTTAGGGTTACAAATGCTTAATTCATGGCAATTGACTGTGGCTTATTAAACATACTTGTTCTTTTCAACTTTAGTGCTGCACAGCAGACTTGAGAACTTGACTGGTATCACTGTCCTTACATGGTTTAAATCATATCTTAGTGACAACAATTTGTCTCTACTGGCAGGTTTAGGTCTGATCTCTCTCATCTCTCCCATGGTGTTCCCCAGGGCTCAGTTCTTGGCCCTTTACTTTTCATATACAGCAAGGCCTCCAGTTCCATTGCTATGCAGATGAAACGCAAATCTATATATACACTAAACCCTCAGACAGACTGTCACCTGCTGCTTTGCTCAATTGTTTGGCTGCTATAAAAACCAGGCGCCGGATTCAAGTAAGGGTCTTATGAAAGATAATCTTCTTAAATGTGTTTTTTTTCTTAACATCATTCTTAAGAAAAAGTTATGAAAAACTGTTATACTTCAAATCACTTGAGAATTCTCTTATGTTTTTCTTAACTCTTAAGAATAGTTCTATGAACAAGTGGTATTTTTGAAAACATTATGATCTTAAATGTTTTCTTAACCTTACAATAACAAATTCAAATGTGTTGCAGATTTTAAGTGGGTTTCAAGCAACTAAAGTTGCATGAAATTTCACAGTGTAAAGCTAGTCTTCAGAGTTACACTCTTAGGCATTTGTGGGCTAAGTTAAGTGGAGGGAAGTCAGCTGTCCCACTGGAAAATGAGTGTACACATCCTTGGACTTTAAGCATTATGTTAACAGCTGTCTCTGTTGAAATGGACACACGATGAGTAGCCTGTCCAAAAAGCACAAACAAAACAAGTGTTTACCTGACGCCCCATAAAACAGGGCAGCAGATCTTGCCTGTAATCTTGCGCTCTCTAACTACGAAGCTGTATGTGCCAAAAGCGTGAGATAAGCTGTTTTTATCATTTCCTGTTAATGTGAGTGTCAGTGTAGTTTGTGCCAAAGTCTGTGCCAACTGCAGCAAGGAAACCCACAGGGAATGCTGTTAAACCACAGATAATGGCTAAAGTATCATTGCAGGGATGTGTGAGCTTTGTTTCCTCCCCTCTCTGATTACAGTTGCAGTCAGCGATAAAGTTAATTAAGAAAAAACAGGGTTGGGTGACACC